AATTTTCCACGTTTACTCTTACGTAATGAAACGTAGCTCTGTTGTTTTTGCACATATTTCCTTAAACTTGGTGTTGTTGTACTACTTGTTCGTTTTTCTAACCATAAATAGTTTGTAACATGCCCTAAACAAGCGCAATATTTCCGATATTTCATTTTAAAGTATTTTTAAATTTTATTTTTTGCAATAAATGTTGATTAGCGCCTAAAGTATAAGAGATAGAAGAAAGGTTGTAATAACCTTTTTAAAAGACAATATATTTAGGCGTAGATAGACGCTTAATTCACCTTTCTATCATTAACCGTTTGTGAGTTAGACGCGGAAATGTAAACCGATGACCCGCGCAACTTCCCCCCCTCCCCCCCGAGTTGTGACCACCCTAGAAATGCGACATCATAGATTTTTTTCATCTACTAGATGTCCCCAACAATAATCAAAAGTCAAATTTTGTCAGACTTTCAGTGCATACTCAACCCGTTTAGCGCCTGGACTAGTAGGCTTTTAGCGAATTTCCCTATAGGGAAGTAGCTATTACCGTAGGTCTCATGGTAAGACCTAAGCCCGGGACCGATTTACTTTTTCATTTTGATGTCCCCAGAGGCCAAAAACACCATTCGTTCAAATTTTTATATATCTATCTATATATAGAGATATATATATATATATATATATATATATATGTGTCCATCCGCACGATAACTTGAGTAATTTTTGTCCGATTTTGATAAAATTTGGTTTGAAGGTGTAAGGCAGGATAAACTTGAATGAGTTCGCGAACCAGCATGATTGGACTATGGGAACGGTGGTTTATGGGGGGTTTTATGGGGTAAAAATAGGTTTTTCCCATTTTTGACCCTAAAAACACAAAATTTCACAATTTCTTTTTAAACCATTTTGTAGAGCTTAAAAAAACAAATAATTTAGTATATTGAAGCGTTATTATGCGCCTAATTGTTAAGGAGAAAATTCAAAAAAATTGTAATTTTAAAATTCCCATGTTATTCTTATGGAGAATAAGTCAACTGTTGTAGTTTGCTTGTTTATGAACATATTTTGATCAAATTTGGAAAATACATTAATTTCTTACTAAACCACAGTACCTTTTAATATTTTACATAAAAAAAAACTTTTTTACCCTCCCTGTTGCAGCAAACCTAAGTACTCATTAAACTAATTCTGTTTGAATCTATATAATTAATACGCTACATGAAACTTTGTCGGTCGAACTCCTCCGCCATTTCTTAACCGATTTTTTCCATTGACGTCTCATTGGAAAGAGCGTGTCGCGTAGATTTGCAAACTGGCCTTACATTTTTGAAAAAGTCCCTTGGGCTCTGCCCCAGTGGCTTTGAAAGTTCCTATGTTATCCTTATGGAGGACATGATTGTTTACATTTTGAACAGCTGTATAATTTAATTGCTGTTATTTTTTTTCAATTCAATGAAACGCATTGAGTACATTTATTTACTATTTGAGTTTGTGTAAACATAACCCCCAAGACGGATCGTGTTAGCATGATTGTAACTTAAAATTGTGCATTTATCGTTGTTTGGTGTAGCTATAATTTTTGTATGTTGTTTTTTTTTTCTTTTAAATGCCTCCGACGCGACGAACAAAACATAACATGTAATACTTTGCAATTGCTCGAATTCGAGCAACATGTAAACTTGTAGGGAATAAATGTGATAATTTTAAGGAGACAATTTAGTTTAAATCTAATCAGGCAGATGGAAATTCGCTAAGTCTGTAGGTTTGCTGCGGCGGGGGTATTTATAGAAACTTGACTGCAGACAGATAAGTTAGGTCTACCTAACTTAACTCACCCTAGGCCTACTTAACCTGGAGTTTCCTAAGTTAAGTTAGGCACAGAAACGGATTGCAAAACACAGACTCCTCTTGGCTGCACTTAAGTTTAAACAACCTACACTAATTCGAATGAAAAATATTGATAGGCCTAAGATATAAATAATTTGATTATATCGATTACTGTATTTCATTCGGTTAACGTAAACTTAGTTAACTTACCAAACTTGATATATCGAATGGAATAATCGATAAACTTATATCGATCGATATATTCATTCGAAAGAGTGTAAAACGTAAACGAAAGTGAGGCCCTCCTCGTCTTAGGTAGGCATCTTACAGTCATTTAAGTTAATGTTAAGTTAACTGCTTTCCTAGAAGCGTGTCGGAAGACGTTGTTAAATCGCCTTTCCGCACTCCACGCCTAGGAAAACCCGGCTTAGGCCTATGGCCAGAGATAGGTTAACTTATACAAGTTAAAGGTTAAGGGTGTAGCATAGAGCACAAGGGCCTAGATTTTTTAGGATTTTTTGAGAGGATAGCAGGCTTACCTGAATGGGAAAGAGTCCAAACTGGCACAGGAAACACAAAACATAACTTTGTATATAGTAAAGTTATGTTTTGTGTTTCCTGTGCCAGTTTGGACTCTTTCCCATTCAGGTAAGCCTGCTATCCTCTCAAAAAATCTTATACAAGTTAAAGGTTAGAATAAATTGATCTATTAACTTAGGCCTACCCTAGGTCCTTTAATTTAAATTAATTAGACTGTAGAAAAGGCCAAGGTAGGCTAGGCCTATCAGATACAAAACAAAGTGGCAGCACTTTAAACTTCTTTATTTTGCTATTATTTCTAGAGACTCAAAACTTACAATAATTGTTGGTAACGGTAACGTCTTTGGACAGTTACGAAGTTACGAATTTTACTTCATGTAATGGCTACTAAAATACCTTTGATTGCAGGCTACCCTAGGCCTACTTCGTAGGGAACACTCTGTCAGTTACACTTGATAGTGTAAGCAAGTTAAGTTAAATACGCCTAGCTTATAACTTACCGGATAACGTTAAGTTATAGGCCTAATATTAAATTCAAAATAACACTTAAAAGATCATATCTCAATGATTAATTTTTGAAACAATTAACCAGACACAGTACTTTAAGTTCCTTCCTTGCTTAGAATCTAATGGTCTCTAACACTCTAACCAATGGCTCCCTCAGTTCCTAACCTAGATCTAGTCTTTGCCAATGACAACAGTGACAAAGATAGGTATAAAGTGAAATAACTCTTGCACTCTAACTACGAGGAGTAATATTTGCGGTATATTCATTAAAATGATTATATCAAAATGTTAACTATTTTATTTTACGACCAACATTAACAACAAATAGACCCGACAGAAAGCACTAACAAACAACCGACGATAAAAAAAAGGAAAGAGGAAACTATTTCACTTATTGGCCTGTATGTTTGAAAAAAAACTCTTAAAAAAATCTGATTGGCATAGGCAGAGTGTGCTATAACAATAATATTGAAAATTAACAATATAAAAAGCTCAAGACAATGTTAAAACCACTTATTTATAGAAACCCATCATGCCACCCAAGTGATAAAATTCACACATTATTTTTATTAATAAGCATTCCAAGGACTGTGGTCTTACCTAATTCAAGCCTAGGCCTACTAAGCTAACAAGCATAAAAACATGTAAAAAGTTCAAACATGTGACTACCTAAACATTTTTATCGATTGTAATATTGTAATACATTTTGGTGGATATTTTTATATCTCATATTTATTTCCTTCAATATGTTCTTTTTAGAATAATTATAATTTAAAGATTTATTAAGCATAAAACCATTGACTAATATAATATGTACAGATGTTAAAACTGTTTACTCCATGGATGAAAGAAATAATAGAATTCACTTCGGTCTCTAGAATTCACAACAAAATTGTTGCTCGTAAAATGTAAACAAAAATAAAGAAGAAGAAGGTAGCTCCTAATGTTATTCTTATGGGGGAAAATTAAAATGGTTTTTTTAGGATTTTATAATTATTTCTGAACAAATAATCTCCAATAACGAACTTAACTGACATAATATGATAAAGAACCTTTGTGCAAAATATCAACTTGATATACGAAGTTATATTCGAGTTATTGGAGATTGATGAGATGCATTTTACACCAGTATGAGAATTCACTTCGTTCATTCAATTAGCCTATATCCTGTCCTGATACAGACCAGACTGGTATTTCATCATGTAGTTAAAGCTTAGTTTTATGAATTGTCAGATTATTATTTTTTTTGTACATTATTACTATTAAGTTTTTAAAGTTTTAATAATTGTAGTTAGTTTTATCATCATGAAAAAAAGTCCTATATATGTACTACAAAAAATATGTTATGAGTTTATGAAGAATCTGAGACCGCAGGTTATGCTCCTCCTGACCTTTTGGCTGTTCCGACCATGGCCCGGTCCTGTCATTGGTCGGATAAGAGAGGTTCTACTGTACTGAAAAGCACACTTTACCAAACTTAAAACTCAATTTTAGCCTGCCTGTAGCATCAAACCTAGGTATTTGTTAAACATAATGCAGTAAACCTTCGATAGTTAGACTCTCTATGGTTCGACACTCCTTGTAGTTCGACACGAGCTGAGCTATATTGTCAAGTGATATTTAACGGTTACTATTGTGATGTAAGCTGATTTGAACATTAATTATTTCATTTATTGTTGACTTGAGACTAATGAACAATGAAATTGTTAAGCTTTTTAGTATTTAACAAATTCTGGTGATTTATATACAGACATAAAAATTGTGTTTTTACTTTCCTGTATATTAAACTCCATTTACTCATATAATTCAACACCCCTTAAGTCCACAAAGTGTCCAACTACTGTGTCATTGAAAATTAATTCAGGCAAATAGAAATTATCTTAGTCTGCAGGTTTGCTGCGGCGGGGGTATTTTTTTTCTTTTAAATATATCCTGTTCTACCTAAAGTTTTGATTTTTCCCTGAATCTCAGTTCAAATAACTTATTTTGAAATTTACTTGTTGAATACTTTGTAACTATTTTATTTTATATTTTATTCCATATTATATTCATCATGAATACTAGAAAACAGTCTTCCCACCCTGTCTCCTTACACTTTGCAATCTATTAAACTTTTTAAAAATAAATTATGTTTGCAGTTTCCAGTGTTGAAGACAGTGGCCAGTAGAATGGTCAGTTTGTACCTCAAGTTTTCAGCCGGAGATCATGAGGGTTTGAGTTCTCATACTGCTCATGGTAGACTAACTTCCACCAGGTAAAGTTTATGAAATATAATATATACTATCTGTTACCTGTCAGCTTCACGCAACATAGCTATGTTTTTTACGTTTTTACAACCAATACTACTACTACTACTATGAACTCCGCTGAAGCCTTTGACTTAAGCACTGGCTAAAATGACCTTTTGCATAAATTTACATTATTACATTTTGTAATTTATTCAACCCATTCGCGCCTACTTACAAGTGTTACTTGTACGGCCGGTGCAGGCCCTGCGGCTGACTTACGAGTGCCGCTCAAGTCACCGCTACGCAGCGCCATTAGTTATTTAATTATTATTATTCTTCCCCCTTTATGTTTCTTCTTACTTTATGATGTTTATAAATATCTTGCTTCTTGTTTTGAATATTTACTCATTTCTTGTTGCGAATAACAAACAAGGTTGTGTTGCTATGGAAATCAATTATCACCCAAAATCTGCGGTAAGGTAAAACATTATTTTTTTCAATGTTAGGCCTATTACTTATAAAAGTAAACATGTGATTTTTCTACAGGGAATCAATTGAAATCTATAACAGTAGAGACATTTGGTGTCTGGATTAATCTTGGAATTTGTAAATCAAGTTTATTTAAAAAATAAATGTATAATATAATTTTTATTTTATTTTACACTTTGGCTATCCAATTACTACTTTATGTTAGACAATTTTACTGTGAACAAAATGAAGAAAGAATTATTAATTCATTACCTTAGGTTTCCTTTCTATAACAATTAGAGATAAAGTTAACAAACTCGGTAAAATTAATTGCTGACAGATGGTCTGCAGGCAGTGCATTAATTCCTTCCCTAATAGGTTACACTTATGATTTTTTTTATCTATAACACCACTTCTTATTAGATTGAAGATCCAAGCATTGGTTCAGCTTATACAGTTCAAAATTTTACCTCTTACAATTTCACCAGATTTCACCGGAAATAGCTTCTTGCTGTCAGGACACATCCTGTCTGTTACAGAGCTTTGTGGGAGAAACCCACTCAAAATAATCGGTGAAAACTAGAGTTGCAATTTGATACCATTTGCTTATGATTTGTGAATGTGTGTTAACCAATAATTTAATTTTTTTAATCATTTATTTTTATAAGATGGATTGTAGGTTGTGAAAATATTAAAAACAAGTTTTCTCAAGTTTAGGTATCGAATCAAGCCACATTTACACAAAGCCTTTTGTAAAGGTAGCTTTGTTTTAGAGGCATGTATTATTTATTAAAATATTTATACTCTGGTTACCTGTACAGTGTACATTTACCATCATGTAGGCATTTGCGATGCATCGAAAATGCAGAGAAACTCTCAATTTGATTCATGAGGGAGTAGGTATCCATTTACGAAAAACGCCTGCAGAAGTCAATGCAATACCCGCAATACACGAGCGTTTTGTTGTTGCGTTTCCTTTGCAAAGGCGTTCTTATTTAATTAATTCTTTGCATGTAAATATTGCTATATAATTTTTTGTTTTGACATTGCAAATGATGGGAGGTTTTGTTAAATCTAAGCAAAGTGAGACATAGTCATAGTTTTACATGTTTTACTAACTGTAAACATAGCCAAAACAAGTCCAAAATTATTTTAAAAATAACACATGTCTGGAAAATTGTTAAATGATACTTAACTAGTAAGATTGATGTTTTAGACTGAAAATTTTGGCATTTTTGGAGGTCTGAAGCTATGTATACCTTGTAGTTTTGTAGGTCTGATTGTATCCTGACATTTTATCAATGTAAACCAATTGAAAGTTTCAGTATAACTATATATCTTACGCATGTTTTTATTTGTTTACACCAAAACATATGTGTATGTGTAAAATCAATATTTTAAAATAGGTAACATGCTTTAACAATATGATTCTGCAAGTAAAAGTTATGAAATATAGTCCAGTGCAATTAGCTCCAAAATAGCAAAATTTAGGAAATTCAAAAAAAAAAAGTTGAAACCTGTTGGAAATCATTTGTTAAGGTCTCCTGAACCCACAGAAGAAAGTCCCAGAAAATCCCATGGGGACTTTTCCGCCATTTTGAAAAATAAGTCGGCCATGTTGGATTTATGCAAGCGTTTACGGAAATGGTTGTTACTAGTAAACTAATTGACTTAAAAACCTCCTGTTTGCATAAAAATGTCTTGTAAACTTCAGGCTAGATATTAAATATAAAAATACCCCCACCGCATCTAACCTGCAGACTAAGCAGACTTCCATTTGCCTGAATTTATTACTAAATCTATTTGAATAACATTAGGTTTAACAAGTACCTATGTTTGCTGCTACAGGGAGTCTAAAAATATGTTTTTAGTAAAATATTAGTAGAATAATAAAAAATATACAAATTTACCATGTTTGATCAATATATTTCCATAAACAAGCAAGCTATAAAAGTGTACAGTATTCTTCATTAGAATAACATGATAATTTTAAATTTGCAATTACTTGAATTTCCTCCATAACAAGCAAATTGGTAGCAAATTGCTGAACTCACAGGGAAGATGGATCAGCTTATTAAGAAAGTCGATTCACTCAAGAATGACGATATTGTACCTATACGTGAGGACATAAAGGATCTTAGTGTTAAGATTTATGCTCTTGAGCCTAGACTTGCTGCCTCTGAGACTAGGATTTCTGCCCTGGAGGAGAGTTTAAATACGATGAGCACTTCTGGTGGTCATACTAATACGGAATGTCTCATTGGTGAGCTTAATGACAGGTCTCAGCGAGCTGCTAATATTATGGTACACAATTTGAAGGAACCCACTGGTGCATCCCCTAAGGAAAGGCAAGACCAAGACAACCAACATATTAAAAATATAGTCTCGGCCTTGGATGTCGATCTTGATACTGGCCGGATACGATCTTATAGGCTTGGGAAATTCGTACGTGGCAAGGTTCGCCCTCTTAAAGTTGTGTTTGGATCAGCTAATGATGCAAAAACATTCAACATAAAGTATTCTCAGGACGTTATATCTACTCTTGATGCTGCATATGAGGGCCTGTCTATAGGAAGAGATCGTATGATAAAGGAACGTGAGTACCTGAAGAAAATTAGGAGTGAGCTTGAAGAACGTAAGAAAAAGGGAGAAGTAAGTCTAACCATCAAATACATCAATGGAGTTCCAAACATTGTGAAAAGGTTCTTCAAAAAACGAGTAAAGTCTGAAACGATGTCGAAATTAAATATCTACTTCCAGAATGTTAATGGGCTGAGAAGTAAATTAAATCAGTTGAAGCTTTCTATAATAACCCATGGTTATGATATAATTGTTTTAGTGGAAACCAACTTAATACCTGAGATAAGTGATGCTGAGCTGGGTCTCACTGACTTTACTGTTTATCGATGTGACCGATCTGAAGGGACTTCCCAAAAGCTGAGTGGTGGTGGAGTTCTTGTTGCCATAAGTAATAGATTGGTTAGCAGGGAGCTTTTCTCCCAAATACAGTCTGTTGAATGTGTTTTTACGCTTATAGAATTATCAAATTCCTATCTGCTCCTCAGTGCTGTGTATCTTCCTCCAAACAAGCCTGTTAATCAGTATCTCCAGTTTTGTTCTGCATGTGAAGAAATTATGCTTTCAAATGGTTCTAATGGTCCCATTTTTCTGGTTGGGGATTTCAACTCACCTGATACTATATGGGATGATACCGACAATACTATATTTGATCCAAATTCTGTTCCCATTCTCAATTTAGCTCAACTTTTTGAACTTCAGCAATTTAATGGCATCAAAAACGACCGTGGAGTTTTACTGGATCTGGTTTTCTCATCTTTGGACCATGTTGAGGTTACTAAGGCCTTGGATCCTTTGGTTCCGGTTGAATCACACCACCCTTCCCTTGAGATTGAAATTAAATGCCCGGGTAGACTACGGTCAAGAAACATAACATACAAGCTAGACTTCAACAAGAGCAACAAAAAAGAAATATTCAATAATCTACAAAATTGGGAGTATCCATTACTGAGTTGTGTCGAGGACATGGAATCGTCATTTACGGCTTTTTGCTCTAGGCTAAGCTTCCTAATAAAATCTTTCACTCCACTAAAATGTCTTGGTAAATCTAGATTTCCTTGTTGGTTTTCTCAGGACTTGAGGAGACTAGTTCTGCCAAAAAAACTACTTCATAGAGAGTACAAAAGGACTTTAAACTTACAAATTTATATGGATTTCTGTCGTGTACGAACTCAATGTAAACAACTCACTGTGATTTGCTACAGAAACTACATCAATCGGGTAGAAGATTCCATGCAAGAAAATATTAAGGCATTCTGGGGTCACATTAATAACACCAGGAAGACTTCCAAGGCTGTATCTTCGATTTACCTGAATAATGTAACTGCCGACACACCTCAGGACATCTGCAGACTTTTTGCTGAACATTTCTCGTCTGTCTTTAGACCACCATCAGGGTCTCCCTCATATGAAGACTCAATTACAACTCTCTCATCTCTTACTGGGTTTTCTGTATCATGTGAAGAAGTTGAAGTTGTCTTGTCCTCTCTGAATGCTAATAAAGGGGCAGGACCCGATGAGATTTCTCCATCGCTACTCAAGTACTGTAGCTGTATTCTTGCACCGCACATAACAATCTTCTTTAATTCATTTCTTTCATCTGGTGTTTTTCCTAACTGCCTGAAGACAAGCTTCGTTGTACCAATTTTAAAGAGTGGCAATCCCTCGGATATCAAGAATTACAGGCCTATAGCGATTCAGCCAACGCTTGCAAAAGTGTTTGAGTCTCTGGTTCTTACTCGGCTGTCTTTCTTTGCCAGAAGTTTTCTGTCTACAGCTCAACATGGATTCTATAGTGGCAGATCCTCAACGACCAACTTAATAACATACCATGACGACATTATCTCAGCTTTCAACAGAAACCACCAGGTGGATAGTGTGTATATAGATTTCTCGAAGGCATTCGATAGAATCAGCCATGATCACCTTATGGCAAAGCTTGGTATTTTGGGAGTGGCTGGACCTATGCTGAGGTGGTTTCGGAGCTATATTAGTGGACGTTGCCTTATTGTGAGATATAATGGGTCTGAATCTGAAGCCTTTCCTGTGTTATCTGGAGTGCCACAGGGCTCTCTTTTGGGTCCTGTACTGTTTTCAATCTTCATTAAAGACCTAGTCCATGCTGTCAAGCATTCAAGAATGTTGCTGTTTGCAGACGATGCTAAAATCTATAAGGAAGTAACAACGGACTTTGAATGTGAGGAGCTGCAGAGTGACTTGGACAATGTGCTGCGGTGGTGCTCGGAGAATGAGATGGAGTTGAACATATCTAAGTGCGTTGTACTCTCTTTCTCTCGTCGCACGAATGTAACGGTATTCAACTATACCTTATTTGGTTCGACTCTCCACCGATCCTCTACAGTGAAAGATCTCGGAGTAACTGTTTCCTCGAATCTAAGTCCTGAACCTCACTTAAGAAACATAAGTAAGAGGGCTTATTCTGCTCTGGGATTTGTTGTCCGAATGTCTCGAGATGGGTTTTCACCTCATGCCCTAAGGACTTTGTATGTGCAGCTGGTCCGCCCTTTGTTGGAGTACTGCTCGCCAGTTTGGTCACCATACCTGATATGCCATGTTGATCTTCTCGAGGGTGTACAGAGAAAATTTCTCCGAGTACTTGGAGTGAGTCTGGGCTTTCGCTACCTTGAAGTACCACTGGATGAGATGGAACGTCGGTTTGGACTTCTTCCTCTGAGTTCGAGACGCAAATTCTTTGATCTGATGCTCTTAAGGAAGATCATCACAGCCTCGGTCGATTCACCAGATTTGCTGAGCAGGGTTGATTTTCGTTGTGCTCGGGTGGTTCGATCCAGAGGACTCTTTGAGAGAGCTCATTGTTCGACACTGTACTCTTACCACAGTGCTCTGCCTCGCCTTCATCGTCTGGGAAACAGCCTGCCCAGTTACATCGACCTGATTCAGTTCTCCGAGAATCGTCTTAGGAAAGAGCTAACCATCTTCTACTCGTCAGAGGAGCATGTGCATGTTTGATTTTTTTTTATTAGCTTTTCGTTAGGAGTGTGGCGATGACTTAGTGTTGGGGCCGTCGACTCCCCTCACTTCTATGCATTACTTTTTAATATTTATTAATATTTATGGTATATCTTGTTGTTGCCTTTATTGTTAAGTTTTTTTTTTCTTCAGAGTTTACCGTACCTACCTTTTGTACATTGTTCGCTTCTGTAAATTTGCTGTTTTTGCCGCCATACTATGTGTTTTTTTGGTAGTGTTTCATAATTTTGGGTTTGCTTGTATTTAGTCTCTACTTCGTTAATATTTATAGTATTATTGTTCCTGCATGTTAACTAGTTTTTATTGCCACTTGCTGTGATATTTATCATATATTTATTTTCTCAACTTTGTTTTGCTAATTGAGTGTAGGTATAGGAGATAGATGTAATGGTCGCATGTATTATTATGTAATCTTTTTTTGGCCATCTGTAGTATATAATTGCAATGTTAAATGTAAAATGGTGTTTGCCGTATACAAAAATAAAATAAAAATAAAATAACCATTAACCGTACAAAAACACTTTGGGATACTGCATTATTTGTTTTTTAAGCTCATTAAAATGGCCTAGAGAGATATTAGGAAATTTTGTGTTTTGAGGGTCAAAAATTTGAAAAAAACTATTTTTTATCCCTTAATCCCCTTCCCCCGTAAAAGCCTGTTTCCATGGTCTTATCATACTGGTTTGTGAACTCATTCAATTTTATAACGTTTTACACCTTCAAACCAAATTTTGTCAAAATCTGATAAAAATTACTCAAGACTACTTTATAAGGAAATTACTATAGGGAAATTCGCTAAAAATTACTTCCTTTATTTTTTTTACTTTCCTTTACTAATTTAAAACTTTTTTATTTTGACATATTGTAACTTATAATTAGCATTTTTCATAAAGTATCCTTTTATTTTGCTGTTACAGTATAAGGAAAAATGTAAATACAAATTGTAGATGACTAAATGACTTATTGACTTATAGAGAATAAAATCTTTGAAATACACTAAAAAGGTTTACCTAAATATTTTTATTATCCTACTCAAGAGCCAATAGAAGCTTTCGATACTATTTTGGCTAAGACGCTCGGCGCTAGGCTGCCCGGCCGTTTTGTCACATTTCCCAAACTCCAGTTTTGTTTGAACGTTCTTGATATAGTAGTCTGATTCATTACTAGTTAACATTACAACTAGATTAACGTTCGTCAAGTAGTGTATTACCGCACCCAAATCCTGCACAGTGTCCGCACATTTGAGAACATGATAAAGAGCAATTACGGCACAAACAATACTTCTCGCAATTGCCTTTGCAGTTGCAGAATATAAGATTAAGTAGATTTTGAGGAACATGTTGTTTATAAGTTGTTACAGGTATAAGACCCTGACTAGCACTTAGCTTCCAGTCCCAGTTTGTTCCGTAGCTGGAAGATTAACACTTTTCCACTGCTGAATTTGATGATAATTCCTCAGGGAGTGTTGGAGAGCTGCTGCTTTGGTTGGGGGAATAGAGACGGGATTGAAATTTACAAGAAGTCTATGCTGTGGGGTTAGCAAGAAACTCTTTTTGAAATGTTGGTATTACTAAATCATTCTCTACAATAATGTCAATGGAAGCGAACGATCAAGTTCTTCTTAAATGTTCAGGGTGCTCGAATCCTCAATCAGTCAAAAATAATATCGCTTTTGCCATAATATGTCCTTACAAACTATACATATTGGTTGCACACCCGTATTAATGTGCCGTAGCGAACCCATTTAATGCAGTGTATTAGGTAGCATCCTTTGATTGTTTAATACGCGCCATCAGGAACTTTGTCTTCAGATGGTCCATACTGTTCAAGCAGTAGAACTAGCACTTTACTACCCATTCTAATATTGAAACTACATCAAAGAGAAGTGATGGTGGTCGTAGCGACAGTATCGTTTGTACTGAAGGAATGATGAGAGTTTTTATGTACTAAGAAGTGATGTTTCTTAAATCAGACTTAAATATTGTTTATAGAAAGGATAAAATAATAAACTTCGTGAAAAGCTATGTATTGTATTTTTAAATAAATTTTTAAGATAGGTAAGTGTTTTGATTGAAAACAATCAAGAACTGGCAACAGTATTGGCGGCTGTGACGAAAACCGCCGGGTCGGTGAGCACCTAAGCGAAAATGTATCTAACGCTTCTATGGGTTCTTGTAGGATAGTTAAAATATTTAGGTTAACTTTTTTAGTTTATTTGAAAGAAGATTTTATGCTCTACAATTGGTATTAACAGTTTTCCCTATAACATCAAACCAAAAGGATACTAAATGAAAAATGCTAATTATGAGTTACAATATATCAAAATAAATAAGTTTTAAATTAGTAAAGAGAAGTAAAAGAAATAAAGGAACACATTTTTTATATTTATATATGTATTATATGTATGTAGCAAATAATTCAGTATCCCAAAGTGTTTTTGTACGGTTAATGGTTATGGAGGAAATTCAAGTAATTGCAAATTTAAAATTATCATGTTATTCTAATGAAGAATACTGTACACTTTTATAGCTTCCTTGTTTATGGAAATATATTGATCAAACATGGTAAATTTGTATATTTTTTATTATTCTACTAATATTTTACTAAAAACATGTTAAACCTAATGTTATTCAAATAGCTTTAGTAATAAATTCAGGCAAATGGAAGTTTGCTTAGTCTGCAGGTTTGCTGCGGTGGGGGTATTTTTATATTTAATATCTAGTCTGGAGTTTACAAGACATTTTTATGCAAACAGGAGGTTTTTAAGTCAATTAGTTTACTAGTAACAATCATTTCCGTAAACGCTTGCATAAATCCAACATGGCCGACTTATTTTTCAAAATGGCGGAAAAGTCCCCATGGGATTTTCTGGGATTTTCTTCTGTGTGTTCAAGAGACCTTAATAAATGATTTCCAAGAGGTTTCAACTTTTTTTTTGAATTTCCTTACTCAAATGCTAATTGCACTGGACTAATAGCCAAGTAAAGCAGCTCACTGCCATTTCCAACAATACAGGTTAATATATTATTGAAAATAAATATTTTTTTTTACCCAAAATTCATATATGTTATGGGGCCTAATACCACATCAACAAAAATTTGAATTATACAAATGTGATAAATTTTAATTATTGTTAATTCACTCCATTGACAAATATGAATAGAAAAATGTCGTATTGCTTCGAATCGAGTTGCATCAAATCGAATAGAAAATCTTTTGAATCGAATCGTTGCTTTGAAGTGAAATCTTTTTCTGCTTCTCACACCCCTACCATCATGTTAATAGTTGAGTCTCTTTGCAGAGACCTCATGAAGTGGTGTGCTAGGGCTGTTATTGGGTTTGACGTTTCTTCTCCTGAATCTGCCCTCAAGGTTTTACAAGACGCGATAGATATCTTCTGCTGTAACATAAATAATCCTGGTAAGTTTTGTATAAAAAAATGTTTTACTAATAAAATGTTTTGTGATAAATGGCATTTGATGCTTAAGAACTAGATAAAATCTTGGGGCTAGATGGGTGTAGCACAGAGCAGAATGGCCTAGGTTATTAAGATGTGTTTAAAGTGAGAAATTCAGACGTAACTGAATGAGAAAAGAGTCCAAACTGGCACAGCAATAATACAACATTTATATTACGACTATTTGACTGTCACTGACAGCATTTTCAACTAAGGAAGAGATAGTTTTTCAGGCCTAATTGTGGCTAGGAAGTTATTGCAACAATGTAGTTAAAATAGCCAAAGGTAGTACAGTTCCACAGAAAACCTACAATATATCATCGTAGTAAGACAATAATCTCTTCCTCAGTGTGCTGTGGTTTTCAAGTTAGGTTAGTTTGGGTCACTTTAGTTTGACTTAACAAAATATCATTTATGAAATTTGTCCTTTTTGTATAAGTTTATACAAAAAGGATACCAATACAAATTGATTTATTTTAAATTTATCTCATTAACAAATTATAGGCTACAACATGTCACCTTTTGCTTTTATACATGTTACCTTAGGCCTATTTTTACTATCACAACTGGTACATAACTTTGATAACATTGACTTTGTTATAGCTAATTATTCTACCCTGCCTTGCTGCAAATTGAATTAAACGTAAGGAAATTCAAAAAAAAAACTAAGCTATAGAGTTATGTGTAGTTTCTCTATAATCAATGGTTGATATGTAACTGTCTAGAACTGTAATGTAACTGTCTGTTGAAATGTAAACTACATTTATCAAACCATATTATTCTCTAAAAAGAGTTTTAGATTATTATGAAGCTACTGATTTTGAATAACTTTACATACACAGTACTTATTTATTTATTTCTCAGTACTAGTAATTCTCCCAATGTATATGATTTAAAATTTGTGTAATTGACAAATATTGTTTCTTTCTTTTATAGAGAACAGAGTTGTCCTGGCCAAGAGTGTTTCTGCCAATCTAGGAATCGTCCAAACAAAAGCAGAGTTTTTCTTGAGTGGCTACAAACCTCAACCAATCAAAGTAGTTGGAAAATATTGTGTCGTAGGAAGAGCCTCATTGCCTGTCAGAGAAAAGACAACATACGAGTAAGTTATCAATTATATCAATTATTTAAGATGGGGACGCCACTATGTGTGTATTTTAACCCAAATATGAGTGAAGGATAAGTGTAGAATGAGTGGTGCGATCTTGTAGTCTTGTTAGTGACTAAGGCTGACATGATCCTTAGACACAGCTTTTAATTAATAGCTCATACAGATAATCAAGAGTCAAGAGTCAAGAGTCAAGAGATTTATTGGTCTAAGAACACAAAATTTACAGTGCATACGACCTTGTCAAGTACAATTATTAAAATAATAAAATTAAATATCACAGATTTAGCCTATACGAATAACAATAACACAGCTACCTACAAAAACAATTAATGGTATCACAGATTCAAACATCTTTCATAATACTCCTTAATACAGTAGGAAGGATTGTTGACTAGCAAAAGGTGAATGGCTTTTTTAAAACTATGAAAAGGTAAACATCTTATATCTAATGGCAACTAAGGGACCTTCAGTTTATAGTGGAATTTAAACAACTTTTCCCTTGTAATTAACAAATTGATCTAATTATCAGGATAGTACTGCGGATAGTCATAGTACCGTACTCACTAGTGCAGACGTTAATCCACACCAAGTGAACATGGCATCCACAGTGCATGCCTCTAAATATCCACAATTGGTGAGTAGTTAGATTACACGACGACGCCACCCGTCCCAGTCAAAGTTGATGGAGAAGGTGAAGAGAAGCTATACAAAGCTTGCACTACATTCTAAAATATAGTGTAACTTGGATAATTCAAACAGATAGGGAATATAGTAATAATAGGATGAGGAATAATTATAGTCAACACTTTAAAACCATCATACAGACTGTCCCTTAAGTCCCGGACTGGTTTAATAACTCCTAAATGAAACTAGCTACAGTAATAATATTTCAACATGACTCCTGGCTACAAAAAACTATTTTTTATGGTATTTTTTAATTTGGGGGGTTACCCCAAATTTTTAAATGTAAGCCCCTATCGAGTGATCCATCTCTCTAAAGGTCTCATTGGGTTAAACACAACAGCGCAAATCTGAGGTCGATATCTTGCTCCTGTCCACAATGGCTGATCTTTTAGGGCTTCTTATAGTCTTGTAATTAAATACCCCCGCCGCAGCAAACCTGCCGTCTAAGCGAATTTCCATTTGGCTGAATTGGTTTTTTAATTGATCTATTTAAATAACATTAGGTTTAACGAGTACCTAGGTTTGCTGCTACAAGGAAACTAATAAAGTAGTGTGTTTTTAGTAAAATATTTATAGCTTACTATAAATAAATATCAAAATATATCCATAAACAAGCAAACTACAACATTTTACAATATTCTCCATAAGAATAACATGGGAATTTTAAATTTACCATTTTTTTAGTTTTCTCCATACCCAATAACCGTACAAAAACACTTTGATATACTGAATTGTTTGTTTTTTTAAGCTCTTTAAGATGGTTTGGAGAAAAATTGGGAAATTTTGTATTTTGAGGGTCAAAAGTGAGAAAAACCAATTTTTACCCCATAAAACCCCCCATAAAACCCTGTTCCCATGGTCCGATCATGCTGGATCGCGAACTCGTTCAAGTTTATCCTGCCTTACACCTTCAAACCAAATTTCATCAAAATCGGATAAAAATTACTCAAGTTCACGGACACATATATATATATATATATACATATATAAAAATTTGAACGAATGGTGTTTTTGGCCTCTGGGGACATCAAAATGAAAAAGTAAATAGGTCCCGGGCCTAAGTCTTACCATGAGACCTACGGTAATAGCTACTTCCCTATAGGGAAATTCGCTAAAAATGAACATTTTTATCGTATACAAAGTAAACACATTTACAGGTCTAAGATATTTTACTTTTTCAGTTAAAGTAACACCGGTGGCCCTCTAACAATTGGAAATAGATAACATTTTGGGACATTCCTACTTTAAGTTCTTCGTTACAACATTCCTTAATCCTTATCATTGCTGGAAAACCCAGCATCAACAAAACAATACCTGCAGCATAGGATATTATGTTTTAGTTATATTGTGTAAGGGGCCTTGAGAATAATGTTGTCTAATTTTTCCAGCGTTAGTTTTTACATTTATTACTAATAATTCACTTTCAAGACAAACTAATGACACTTTCATAACACTTTCACAAATTAAATGCAGTATAATAAGTTAAACATCCATACTTAAATATCCAAATGTTTGCAGGAGGTGTCGTGACTTGCAGTTTGCCCAAACTCGTCCGTCAGCTTGTCTATTGGAGCGTGTTGCTGTCTGTCTGTCATTACAAGAGCCAGTGTTGCTGGTAGGAGAGACAGGAACAGGCAAGACGACCACGTTGCAGTTGTTGGCTCACTACACTGGACATAAACTGGTCGTTCTAAACATGAACCAACAAAGCAACAGCGCTGACTTGCTCGGAGGGTAACTCTTGTTTTTAGTAACTAATTTTCTATTGCAATATTTTTTTGTCCCACCCTCTAGGACTTATGCTATTGTCCTGAACAGATTTTAAATTACTTCAGACTAGACTTTGACAGTCACAGCATTATCAGATAAAATCCTTTGGTGATTGGTGGGATTTGAACCTGGGACTTCAGGGACTGAAGCCCTGCGCTGTATCACTAGACCCCCTTCTGCATAGCATTGGCTTTTGGATCTTTTAGTAGACAGCATGGACCAGTTACCATAGCAATTTTCTAATCAGGATTGTCTTTAATAATATCCTAAATATGTATATTTGAAAATCAATATGCATTAAAAAATGCAGCCTTTGCTCTACACCTGTGACTAATAGCAGATTACAATTTTGTACCTATTGTCACATATTGTCATCAGGTTCCATAGGCTCCTTGATAACATACTCTTTGCAATGCACATTTTCTGTGGGAGGGGGGAAATATTATACAGGGTGTCTCGGAACTCTCTACCAATATTTTAGGGCATTGCTCTTGGGTAAGAAACATAACTAAATATCATATTTAAACTGTCCGGAAGTGCTTAGTTACTCACACAGCCGCCATTTTGTTTTTTTTCAGTTATTAATTTTTTTCTAGAGAATGGTTAAACATACGAAATGGAAACTTTGCACAAACATTAATGACAACTAGACAAAGCTACCAAAAAATTATCACGATTTTTCAAATGCATAAAACAAAATGGCGGCCATTTAAAATTTTTGTAAAATCAATGGTTTTTGAGTTATTTAAGAAAGAAAATTTTGTATGGCCGCCATTTTGTTTTATGAATTTGAAAAATCTTCATAATTTTTTTGTAGCGTTGTCTAGTTGTCATAAATGTTTGTGCAAAGTTTCCATTTCGTATTTTTAACCATTCTTTAGAAAAAAATTAATAACTGAAAAAACAAAATGGCGGCTGTGTGAGTAACTAAGGACTTCCAGAAAATTTTTATATGATATTTAGGTACGTTTCTTACCCAGGATCAATGCCCTAAAATATTGGTAGAGAGTTCCGGGACACCCTGTATATTCTTATTCTAAATATATTAAATATTATTTATTATACAAATGATACCAAGATAGCTCAGCCTACAATGGCTGGGAGAAATTCCAAGGTCTACGATAAGGGAAACAGCTAGGCTAAAATTCAGGTCCAACCAATGTAGGAATGTCACCAAACAATAGTGTATTAATCACCACCATTCTCCTACACCTACACAGATTCTCCAATCTCTTAGGGCTTGGTCCTCGCCATCCAATAATCAAGACCAGAGTCAACCTAAAGCAATCTGAGTGACACAGTTACAACCTCAACCGTTATCACCAGGTTGTGGGGAGGGGAGGGGGGTCTACTCGGCCACTAAAATCCAATGCACTGCTCTAATATGCTCATGCTAACAATCAAACAGTAGTTCACTCAGAATATAATATCAAAAAGATTTTTCTGTCACTAATAAACAAATCATCTGTTGGCTGCGATGAGATCCCAATTAAATTGATAAAATCCACTGTTAATGTCATTGCTTAACCTTTATCTCAAAATTATAACCAGTGTTTTAATACACAGCATTTTTCCGGATAAACTAAAACTTTCCCAAATCTCACCAATATTTAAAAAGGGCATAAAATCAGATATTAACAATTACCGTCCAATTTCTGTATTAAGTAATTTTTCTAAAATATTTGAAAAAGTCATAAATTTAAAATTGGTTAGTTATTTTGAAAGCAATCATCTGTTTTATAACAATCAATTTGGATTCAGGAAAAATTTAAGCACGGGTTCTGCACTCTCACAGTTTATAAATGAGGTTACCCGGGCTTTGGACGGGTCTCAGGCTACAGCTAGTGTTTTCTGTGACCTGTCAAAAGCTTTTGACTGTGTTGATCACTCAGTACTTCAGCTCAAGCTGAGTGATTATGGTATTAGGGGCAGTGTATCCACACAACCAAAAAAATAATCCCGCTTGCCGGGTCGAGAAATCCTGTTTAATCCCGCTTTTGAATGATGAAAAATCCCGTTTTATCCCGCATGTTTTTTTGTTCAATCCCGAGTGTTATATTTGACGTAACATGTTTAAATAGTTGTTTAAACATTGCTATTATCTTTTGCTAAAGTAGTTTAATCAATTTGAGTTTGTTTTTACCTCAAATTAAATAGAAAAAAATAAAAATAAACGTCATAGCTGAAAATCCCATTTTATCCTGCATCCCGTTTTGTTTTCGGGATAATAATCCCGAGAATGGAAACACTGATTAGGGGAAGTTGTCACTCTCTATTGAGTTCTTACCTTTCTAATAGAAAACAAAGAACTGTAATAACACTGGATAAGATCAAGTACTATTCACCATGGGAAAACCTATCGGCAGGTGTGCCCCAAGGTTCAATCTTAGGTCCTCTATTCTTTCTAATTTACATTAATGACCTCCCTAAAGCTCAGGAACTAATTCTTTTTGCAGATGTTACAACAGCCTTGATAAAAAATAATAGTGTTTCTGAAATGCTATCTTCTCTTGAAAATGTTGTTCATGACATGGAGGGTTGGTTCTTGAACAATGGATTAAAACTTAATCTTGAAAAAACGCAAACAATAAAATTTTCTGTCAGAAACAATGGTAATAAAATTGAATCCCTTAAATTGGCAACGTCTCATAAATTTCTAGGTGTTTACATAGATGAATCACTTAAATGGGATGTACATCTAAATCAATTAAAAAGTAAACTTAGATCCATGTCAATTGTATTTCTGCACCTAAGGGACTGTGTTCCTAAAAAAACTCTGAAAATGGTTTATCATGCTTATGTAGATTCAGTATTGAGGTATGGTATAATCTTATGGGGTCAGGCTACCGGAGTCAAATCAATATTCAGGCTACAAAAATGCATTATCCGTATTATGACCAACTCTCATCCACGTAATTCATGCAAAAACCTTTTTCGAAATTTAAAAATCCACACCCCAACAGGACTGTACATTTTGGAATCACTAAAAAACATTCATCACATGGAATCAATTCAAATCAACTAGTGATGGTCGGATCCGGATATCGGACTACCGGATCCGCCGGATCCGAGCTAGAACCGGCACCGGATCGGATCCAAAAAATTCCGGATCTTGGGCTGGATCCGGTTTTGATGGATCCGATTTTTTCCGATTTTCTCCGATTTTTTTTACTAACACAAAGCTGTCTGTATCCATGTAAAAGACCGATTTTTTCCCGATATTTAATCAATGTCACAGTGTATATTACGACGTTAATAACCTCTATGGTTGGGCGATGTTACAGTACTGTATATTACGACGTCAATAACCTCTATGGTTGAGCAATGTCACAGTACTGTATACGACGTCAATAACCTGTATGGTTGGGCAATGTCACAGTACTGTCGTCAATAACCTGTATGGTTGGGCAATGTCACAGTACTGTATATTACGACGTCAATAACCTCTATGGTTGTGCAATGTCACAGTACTGTCGTCAATAACCTGTATGGTTGGGCAATGTTACAGTACTGTATATTACGATGTAAATAACCTCTATGGTTGTGCAATGTCACAGTACTGTCGTCAATAACCTGTATGGTTGGGCAATGTCACAGTACTGTACATTACGACGTCAATAACCTCTATGGTTGTGCAATGTCACAGTACTGTATATGACGACGTCAATAACCTGTATGGCTGGGCAATGTCACAGTACTGTATACGACGTCAATAACCTGTATGGTTGGGCAATGTCACAGTACTGTATATTACGACGTTAATAACCTCTATGGTTGTGCAATGTCACAGTACTGTCGTCAATAACCTGTATGGTTGGGCAATGTCACAGTACTGTATATTACGACGTCAATAAACTCTATGGTTGTGCAATGTCACAGTTACTGTCGTCAATAACCTGTATGGATGGGCAATGACACAGTACTGTATACGACGTCAATAACCTGTATGGTTGGGCTATGTCACAGTACTGTCGTCAATAACCTGTATGGTTGGGCAATGTCACAGTACTGTATATTACGACGTCAATAACCTCTATGGTTGTGCAATGTCACAGTACTGTATAATACGACGTCAATAACCTGTATGGCTGGGCAATGTCACAGTACTGTATACAACGTCAATAACCTGTATGGTTGGGCAATGTCACAGTACTGTATATTACGACGTAAATAACCTCTATGGTTGTGCAATGTCACAGTACTGTCGTCAATAACCTGCATGGTTGGGCAATGTCACAGTAGTGTCGTCAATAACCTGTATGGTTGGGCAATGTCACAGTACTGTATATTACGATGTAAATAACCTCTATGGTTGTGCAATGTCACAGTACTGTCGTCAATAACCTGCATGGTTGGGCAATGTCACAGTACTGTCGTCAATAACCTGTATGGTTGGGCAATGTCACAGTACTGTATATTACGATGTAAATAACCTCTATGGTTGTGCAATGTCACAGTACTGTCGTCAATAACCTGTATGGTTGGGCAATGTCACAGTACTGTATATTACGACGTCAATGTCCTCTATGGTTGTGCAATGTCACAGTACTGTATAATACGACGTCAATAACCTGTATGGCTGGGCAGTGTCACAGTACTGTATACGACGTCAATAACCTTTATGGTTGGGCAATGTCACAGTACTGTATATTACGACGTAAATAACCTCTATGGTTGTGCAATGTCACAGTACTGTCGTCAATAACCTGTATGGTTGGGCAATGTCACAGTACTGTCGTCAATAACCTGTATGGTTGGGCATTGACACAGTACTGTATATTACGATGTAAATAACCTCTATGGTTGTGCAATGTCACAGTACTGTCGTCAATAACCTGTATGGTTGGGCAATGTCACAGTACTGTATATTACGACGTTAATAACTTCTATGGTTGAGCAATGTCAAGGTACTGTATATTACGACGTCAATAACCTGTATGGTTAGGCAATGTCACAGTACTGTATATTACGACTAGGAATGTGTCGAATCCGGATCTCAAATCCACCGAATCTTAAGAAAAGATTGGGATTCGAGAATATATTTTTTTAGAATAGAATTATGAGGCATATACTGTAACATTGACTAACCATAGAGGTTATTGACGTCGTAATATACAGTACTGTGACATTGCCCAACCATAGAAGTTATTGACGTCGTAATATACAGTACCTTGACATTGCCTAACCATAGAAGTTATTGACATCGTAATATACAGTACTGTGACATTGCCCAACCATAAAGGTTATTGACATCGCAATATACAGTACTGTGACATTGCCTAACTATACAGGTTATTGACGTCTTAATATACAGTATTGTGACATTGCCCATTAATATCATCAACTAATAGTTTTATTTTGAGATTTAGAAAAGTTTTGTTGTCCCCAAAAAATTAGGGAATATGGGCTCAACTGGAGATTACTCTATATATAAGATATATTAACCTTTAAACTTTACCAATTTAATTTTAAACAGTATTATTTAAATTGGCATTCTGTTAATTACGTTTTTTAACAAGCCCTTATGACAGTGTGTATCTGGATCCGGATCCGAAGATCCGAAGATCCGGATCCGAATTTTTCAAGATCCGGATCCGGTACCGACATTTTCATGGATCCGCCCATCACTAAAATCAACCATAGATATAATATACTCGAAATGATAACATTTTTCGATTTCCAAGGCACCATTTAACCCTTTATGAAAAAAGTCTGCTATATGCTGGGCTGAGGCTGTTCAATGTGCTGCCTGCAAACTATAAATTAAAAAGGTGAAAAGGTGAAAAAGGGTTAAGTGAAAATAATTTGATAAAATAGCTGTACCCTTAATTGACAGAGCCTTTTATTTAATTGCAGATTTTCACAATATCCCTTTAGTTTAGAATAGGTTTTCATTCAATTTTGTTAATTTACATTATCTTCTTTATTACTATTTTATTTTTTATATTCTCACAATTTAAATCTGACGATGCACCTATTCTGTATGTACCAACACCAACACATGAAAAGAATAGCCAAACTCCTAATGACCGGTCTCTACACCAAGCTAAAACTGAATGCCAGTTTTACTATTGTTAAATTATTGAACTACTTAGTGGCAGTGTGATGAATAAAATACTTTCAAGCACTAAATAAACATATCTGACGACATTGGCCTACTATCTATCCAATCTCCTGGGATAATGTGCCGGATGAAGTTATTATTATAAAATTACTAACTAACTAAAACACACTACCATCAACCTGCTAAACTACCTTCTATATTCCTTATATGGCCTTCTATATTCAATTCCATTCAAAATATCTTTATTCATTCAACAATACAGTCTACAGTTTTGACAAACAACAATTGATGAATATTATATAGAATAAAAAAAAAAATGTTATAACCAATACAAATTGAGAATGAATAGTTAGGTAGGCTACCTCATTTTCTCGTGTTGAGGAACTATTACAATCTAAAAGACATACTGGAGAACAAAAACAATTATGGTAAATTAAATGCTATGTATAAAATCAGTAAAATCAAATTAGTCTATTGCATAGATCACGACCAAATTGTCCTTTTTTTATTTTGCACCTTCGCAAACACTTTCTACGGTCGCAAAATAAACGCTCTGTTCGGCTGAGCCAGATCCGGGCTTGGTTTGATGTTAGGTACGAACCAGTCCCTTGGACCAACTGGCTGTGGTGTTGGGGATCCGCAGACCCCACTGTACGAGTGCACGTAGACATTGGTGAAATACTCATTTAGCACAGTCAGACTATTGTATGGGGTTATCAAGTATCAAAGTGTCAAGGGTCGGGAGTGTTGCACGACGTCCAAGTGCCACCACATCCAACTATATTATTCAGTGCCACGACGTCCAAAACATAATTTTTGAGTTGTTGCACGACGTCCAATTTAAAATATTTGACTGTTGCACTACGTCCAAGTGCCACGATGTCCAAAAGTACAGTAACTTCAAAAAATATAATCTTCCTACAAGCTTTGGACGTCATGAGATTGCACGTTGTGCAAAAGCGCACTTAGTACTAAAAAAAACATAGCATTAGCACCTCGTCCAAAGCGCTGCTAAGCAGTTGCACGACGTTCAATAACTCAGCGCTGTTGCATGACGTCCAAAGCTCCCTAGATTAGGTTAAGTTAGGTTAGGTTAGGTTAGTTTATGTTAGGCTAGTTTCCAATAGATGGTAAAACAGTAGCTATTGGACGTCGTGCAACAGGCATAGCAGGGGCTTTGGACATTGTGCAACAGGCATAGCCAAAACTTTGAATGTCGTGCAACTGCTAATTTACTTTTTCAAAGAATATGAAGTGTGCTGTTGCACGACGACCAATCCCATGGCGTCCAATGCTTGTAGAAAGACTATATTTTTTGCAGTTACTGTACTTTTGGACGTCGTGGCACTTGGACATCGTGCAACAGTCAAATATTTTATATTGGACGTCGTGAAACAGCTCAAAAATTATATTTTGGACATCGTGACACTGAATAATATTATTGGATGTCGTGGCACTTGGACGTTGTGCAATGCATCCCAAGGGTCTAACTAACAATTCGAATTGAATAAAATTACCTTCATTCATGTTATGTACATGAATAGAGCCAATGGGTACACCTTATAGTCTAATAATAGCAAATTTGACTATGAAACTGTTTACAGTATTATAGAGTGCCAACAATGGTTAAATTTTGCATTAATTACTGGTGATTATGTGTTTGTATAGGTTAGTTATTAGTTTTAGTATTTTTATTATAGGCCTACATATATTTATTTTTCTTAGGTTTAAACCTGTGGATATCAAGTTCATCGTCACACCTATTAGATGCGAATTTGAAAAACTGTTTAGGAGCTACTTCAAAGTTGACCAGAATTTGAAATTCTTGGAGCATATTTCTGTAAGTAAATCCCACTCATTTTTGTTTAAAAAATAAGTATATAAACTAGTTGTTTCCAGTTAATAATATTAACATTATTTCAATATCATTAAACAATTTTAAATAACCTTTTAAATTTTAACTTATCACTACGAAAAAGGAAAAAAACTTTTAAAAGCTAAACTTTTAACTACAATAAATAAAAAATGTTAAGCTCGATACTGTTTTAATAAAGGTTCTAACAGAGTAGGCTTACAGAATACTGACTGACAGACCAGTTAAAATTGTCGTCTTACTTTTAAAATGTTAAATGAGAAACCCTTCCCATACTATGTTTTTTGTTAACACTCTGACGTCTTTAGCCAGTGGTTTCGTTGTTCTTTAACCATTATTTTTAGATCATCAAAAGCGCGGCATCTTTGACATTGTTACTTACAATGCCCCATGCTGAAAGCAGGGCTCTGTCATATAAAGACCAACTTTTTCAAGTGTCTGTCCTTGACTTTTTGTAATGGTTATGGCAAAAGCGATTCGACATGGAAACTGTCGACGTTTTAATTTTAGGGGAAAATTTCCTTCTGATGGTTCTAAACTTAATTGGGGCAGTAACACTCATTTTCCAGCCGAACTTCCAGTAACGATTTCAAGATTTAGGACTTGGTTATTCATCTCTTCACCATTAATCTGGTTCCATTAACCAGTCTTTTTTGTGGATTATTGTGGTTCCTTAGTAAAATTACAATTACACCTTTTTTAAGGCATAATTTGTGAAGAGGTAAACCACTTGGTGCTAAAGTGTGAAGAAGTTCATCAGGAACATGTAACTGGTCTCCCTCTTCTTGAATCAAAGTGTCCACTAAGTAGTGAACTCGACTGTCATCATTTAGTTACTCAACTATTTTATTATTTATTTCGTCTCAATGTTCATTCTTTGGTGAAAGTATTGCATGATTTGTTGTCTTTTTTAAAGCATCTTCAGAGAATCCTTCACTGAAGCTTTTGTCAATGATATTTTCATTCACAATACATTGTGGTGGAAGACGTATCAATGAATCACCAAGATCATTTATGATAGCTCTCATGGCCATTCCCTAAATTCGTAAAAGATATTCAGCAAATATTGATTCACTTGGATTAGCTCTTATGTTTTTAGCAAGTTAATTTTTTTTAAACATTGGCCATAAAGGCGATCAATCCATTTCATCAGTCATCATTATATTTGAAAGTAAACTGAAAAATAAACATAAAAAGTAAATATTAAAATGACATAAGGGAAAAAAGGTTATATTTATGAAGACAGATGTTTTTAAAAGGAAATGAATCATATGTTTGATAAACGTAAACAAAATTTTCACTTATATTAAAAAATACATGGAAACTTTAAAGTCCAGTGGGGTGAAGCACATTGAACTGAGCGTTACAAAAGTTATTCCATGACTTCTGCAGACAATCCCCTTTAATTTGACATATCAATCATCAAAATCGGATAATAAATAAAAGAGTTTTGCTGTGCACAAGAAATTCCTTACGGAATTAGAATAATAGAAGATAGCCTACTTCTTTCTATAGAAAGTGGCATTTATTTCTCCTCGTAGAGGCCGTCAACTTCAACTACTTGGAATAGGCTAGGCCATTTCTTCAAATAGGTGAGTTGTGTATTCATTCTTGTTAAACCCTCGATCACAAATTAGTTATATTTCATCTTTAAACTGACTACTCATTTATATAAGGTTAATCAAGTGTTCACAAAATATAACCTCACCACTGCTGCAAATGTTAACATCAATAACTGTGCAGATTCCTTTAATTTATATTTAACTAGCTGTTTGCCCGTTCTACGTACGGGAATCTTGCAGTAAGTTAAAACCTTATATTCAGAACAGGAGTTGGTTTGCATATTTAGTGTGCATTTTTCCAGATATGCTACCAAAACTACAATACTCGTACATATAAACCTTCGCAAATACAATATCTGACAGTTTCAAAGCCAAAACGTGAATGTAATCATATCAGTGACAGCTAGAAGTGAGAACTAATCCAAACAGCTGATCGTTATTTCATCAAATGTAATAGGAAACATTGGGAGAAAATTTGACAAAAATCAAACAAAATTGGGTTTTTGATGGTTAGTTTTTTTGTTTTCAAAGAAGCCAGGCCATGTTTTTATAGCCCAAGACACTCTCACCAATCCAGTAAATACAGAAAAACGATTAGAACCTTGATCGGTACTCTAGTTTCCTAGGAGTAGGCCGCGTAAAATGACAATTTGGCGTTACAGACAGAGTCACAGAATGGACAGACAGATATACAGACAGAAATTGAGATAAGACTCATTTCGGCTTTCTTAGTCTATGAAACGTAAAAAAAACCAAAAACTGCATGATTCTAAGCAATGTACAGACAAAACTGTAATTTTATTTATATAGATATTATCAGTTCATTATAAAGTAGTGATGGGCGGATCCCAGAAAATGTCGGTACCGGATCTGGATCCGGATCTTGGAAAATTCGGATCCGGATCCAGATACACACTGTAATAAGGGCACGTTAAAAAACCGTAATTAACAGAATGCCAATTTAATATCGTTGTAATATACAGTACTGTGACATTGCCCAACCATACAGGTTATTGACGTCGTAATATACAGTACTGTGACTTTGCCCAACCATAGAGGTTATTAAGGTCGTAATATACAGCACTGTGACATTGCCTAACCATAGAGGTTATTGACGTCTTAATATACAGTACTGTGACATTGCCCAACCATAGAGGTTATTGTGTCGTAATATATAGTACTGTGACCTTGCCTAACCATAGAGGTTATTGACGTCGTAATATACAGCACTGTGACATTGCCCAACCATACAGGTTATTGACATCTTAATATACAGTACTGTGGTGACATTGCCCAATCATAGAGGTTATTGACATCTTAATATACAGTACTGTGACATTGCCCAACCATACAGGTTATTGACGTCATAATATACAGTACTTTGACATTGCCCAACCATAGAGGTTATTAACGTCGTAATATACAGCACTGTGACATTGCCTAACCATAGAGGTTATTGACGTCTTAATATACAGTACTGTGACATTGCCCAACCATAGAGGTTATTGCGTCATAATATATAGTACTGTGACCTTGCCTAACCATAGAGGTTATTGACGTCGTAATATACAGCACTGTGACATTGCCCAACCATACAGGTTATTGACATCTTAATATACAGTACTGTGACATTGCCCAATCATAGAGGTTATTGACAACTTAATATACAGTACTGTGACATTGCCCAACCATAGAGGTTATTGACGTCCTAATATACAGTACTGTGACATTGCCCAACCATAGAGGTTATTGACATCTTAATATACAGTACTGTGACATTGCCCAACCATAGAGGTTATTGACGTCTTAATATACAGTACTGTGACATTGCCTAACCATAGAGGTTATTGACGTCGTAATATACAGTCAGCACTGTGACATTTCCCAAACATACAGGTTATTGATGTCGTAATATACAGTACTGTGACATTGCCCAATTAGGTGGTTATTGACGTCGTAATATACAGCACTGTGACATTGCCCAACCATAGAGGTTATTGACGTCTTAATATACAGTACTGTGACATTGCCCAACCATAGAGGTTATTGCGTCATAATATATAGTACTGTGACCTTGCCTAACAATAGAGGTTATTGACGTCGTAATATACAGTATTGTGACATTGCCCAACCATACAGGTTATTGACGTCGTAATATACAGTACTTTGACATTGCCCAACCATAGAGGTTATTGACGTCTTAATATACAGTACTGTGACATTGCCCAACCATAGATGTCTTGTACATAGATACAGACAGCTTTATGTTAGTAAAAAATTCGGGAAAATCGGAAAAAATCGGAACCATCAAAACCGGATCCAGGCCAAGACCTGGAATTTTTTTGATCCGATCGGTTGCCGGTTCTAGCTCGGATCCGGTAGTCTGATATCCGGATCCGGCCATCACTATTATAAAGGTAAGTGTAACACAATGCTTAAAATTCTGATCATTGTAGGTATTTTTGGGGAAGGAGATTCGTTGATAAAAGATGAACTTACCTTTCTTACCAAAAGAAAACCCAGTTAAATACAGCTGTGTTAACCCTATTTAGGGTAGATCAACTCCTCTCAGTTTCAGAGTTTGTAAAGTAGTCTAACACTAAACATTTAAAGAGTTGTGATTTATTCAATCCCGATAGAAAATAATTTCTTATGAGGTATTAAATTTATAATTTTATTTATCCTGTCTCCGATTGCAATGTTTGAACTAAACAAATTTCACACTCTGTGACTTTTTATTAACATGTCATTTTTGTGAGAGGAGTGTTTTCATCTAAAAGTGTCCAGCCTCATAGAAGGAAAGATATTCAATTAATTATGCTTTAGTTTATACAAAATTAAATTTTTTTTGCAGTTTCAATTTTTAACGATGGTTTTCTTATAAAAACTCATAAAATGAGTGAAAAATCTAATTTGATACAAAACGGATAAATAAATAAATAAAACTAAATAAAATTTAGTTTGTTAAGTTCTTTTGAGTCTGAAGTAAAAGGCACAACCTGCTATGCTGTAAAAATTACAGTTAAAACTTGTTCAGAAATTTTTCCCTCTAATCATTCATAGTTACTCCCTTCGCTTACCCGTTATAGTTGTTTTTTCATATAAAATTAGTAGGATGTTTAATGTCAATGTCAAGCTATTGTATGTGTCAGTTTGCTGATACTGTTTATTTGATGACGTTATCTGTTGTTTAACCATAACTCTGTGTTCAGAACTGTTTCACTGGTAAAAAGTGGACTCAGCTACTTCAATTGATGAAGCACAGTCAGTCAGCTGCTGTGAAGCGACTCACAAGTGAAGCAGGTGACAAACAGCTGTTGGTACAGTGGAGAAGCCTGGGTGAGAAGATACACAGGCTGGAGACACAACTGAAACAAAACCAAGCCATGTTGGCATTCAAATTTGTGGAGGGCACCCTTGTACGAGCTTTAAAAGAAGGTAGGTTTGTCAAATTGTAGTTTACCAAGTTTGCCTTTTGGATTGATTCTCAATTAACCCTAGCAGTGGCCAATGTTAGAAGTAGGGAATGGCCAACCCATTTTGGCGATTTTGCAGACTTTTTTTGAAAATTCGTAAAAATTAAACCGTACAAGTAAACCTAGCCAACCTCATATTCATTTTGTTCGGAAAGAACAGGAGAATCTAGAAATAGTAATATAATGATGATTTAGACATTGTATTTTTTCGGTAAAGTGAAAAAAATTAAAAAAAATTTGATTTTTATTAAAATTTCAAAAGCGGCCTCGGTATTTTTTTCTACGGATTTGTTATGGGAAATTGATTATATACATTTTGTAGACAATCTAATTCCCTACATAGAAATATATAACATGTTAGGAAAATATTTTTTTTTATAAGTTTTTGTGGCGAAATGTAATAACAAACACAGAACCGAAAAAATTGAAAACCGTACAGTGTTAGTTTGTGTTGTCAAATCAAATCAAATCAAATCGTTTATTTGCACATTAGATTTGTATACAATAACATGTAACAAATATCATGCATCGTCAATATTTACAAACTAAAACTAAAACATACAATATGAGAATCTACATATATACACATTATAAGCTTATAAATTCTGAGACCGAATAAACAGCATTTGAGCATAGAAAATATTTTAAGTGTCTCTTAAATAGGGACAAAGAGTCTTGGGATTTTATTGCCTGAGGTAATTTGTTAAAAAATTTGATTCCCCTGTAAAACGGACTCCTCTCAAAGGCCGCAGTTCTGTGCCTCGGATAACAGAGGATGCCTCAATTTCTCGTCCGGTGGTCATGGATATTCCCTAGATGTTGAAATTGACCCCTGTTGACAAAGGTCAAAATGAGGACCTGCTGAATGTACAACGAATGTACTGTAAGGATGCCAGAATCTTTGAACACTTCCTTGCAAGGATGGCGATGGGAGAGACCGAAAATGCGCCTCAGAATCTTTTTTTGGAGCTTAAGTATTCTTTCCAAATCAGAAGAGCTTACCCAAACAGCAATGCCATAACGTAAAATGCTTTCGCAATATCCACGATAGACGTCCACAAGAACTTCCCTGCTACAAGTTGAACTGAGAATTCGAATGGCAAACAGAGCAGAACTGGTGCGGTTAACAACACTTTGCACGTGACCATATCATTTGATGGAGGAATCAAAAATGACACCTAGGAATTTTGTGCTCAATGAGGGATTAGTGAGCTGCGTTGCAGGACTACTTTGACTATTCTGAGACGAACCAATCAGACCAAAATTGAGACATTGTGTTTTGTCTTTGTTAAAGAGAAGACCATTGTACTCAAACCAACTATTTAAGCTCTTGATGACCGAAGTGAAGCCGTTCTCTAAGCTGGTTGCATTTGGGGCCTTGATTAGAAGTGCTACATTGTCAGCAAATAAATTCATGTGACAGTCATTTCCTTCTTAATGGAGATCATTGATATACAATAGGAATAAAACAGGAGAGAAAATGCATCCTTGGGGAACCCCTCGCTGAAAAAGCATGTAGGACGATGAGATCGTACCTGAGAAACTATTTATGGAAACTTTTTGATAACGGCCAGACAAGAAAGAGCGGAACTACTGCAGAGCAATGCCTCTGACACCATAATGAAAACAGAAAAAGTTTATCCAAGAGGATCGAATTGTCCACACAATCGAAAGCTTTGGATAAATCGCAGAAAACCCCCATTGTCTTCTGCGATTCATCCAGGGCCTCCAATATCCGGTTCGTGAAGTCATAAAGAGCAGAAAGAGTGGACTTCACTTTTTGGAAACCATATTGATGCGGACTTATGATATTAAACCTTGACAAATGACTAGAGAGACGACTAAGAACAACCTTTTCATAGATCTTTGATAATGTCGACACCAAAGCAACAGGCCGAAAGTCATTTGGCAAGTGGCTGTCATTCTTTTTTTGAAGAGGGAATATATTTGCTAACTTGAGTTTTGGTGGGAATTTTGCTTGCTCTAGGGACTGATTTATCAAAATAGACACAGGGTAAGCCAACTGATGACCACAAAATTTCAAAATATTTGGAGAGATACCGTCCCACCCACATGAGTTCTTACTCTTTAGCGAGCCGATGACATTTAACACCTCGACTTCGTTGGTTGGAGCTAGAAACATTGAAGACACAACCTGTGAGGAAAAAGAATGCAGCCTTCGCAAAGATCCAGTCCCACAGGGTATCGGAGCTAGAGAAGTTGGATTCTCAATAAAAAACTTATTAAAATACTCTGTCATTAACTTTTTGTCAGAAATTTTTTCATTATTAATAAGCAAAAACTCCGTATCCCTACTTTTTCTATTCCTACCAGTCTCTTTTTTTACAATATTCCAAACAGTTTTTGGTTTTTTTTTAGACTTCAATAATAATTCATCATTACATCTTTTTTTAGATTAAAATTATCTTCCGCAATAACTTAACATAACTTTTATAATAACTAATAAATATAGGATCTGATGAGCTTTTAACAATTCTACTCATTTCTTGTTTCTTATCCAATGATTTTTTAATGCCTTTAGTAAGCCATGGTTTTTTACAATTAGTAGCTTTTACAAGTTTTTTTGGAAAGTTTTCTTCAAAATTCAACAATAGTATCCTCAAAAAATTATCAAAAGTTACATATATTTCATCTTTGACATTAAACACATTATTTCAATCAATATTTGACAAAACTTCTCTAAAATTAATTTTGTTTCTCTCTGAAAAAACACGTTTAAGTTGACTTGATGACCTACTGCTATTTTTTACCTTGTCTGTAAGATTCAGTTTCAAAACTTGAGCATTGTGGTCAAATAACCGAAATCAACTACCCTTGTTTCACTTCCCTCCTGGTTGGTTATTATGTAGTCTATGCAAGTTTCCGACCTCTCTGTCACCCTTGTTGGTTCATTAACATGTGAAAACAACCCAAAAGAGTCTAACAGACTAAAAAGCTCAGTTTTTTGTGCAGAGTCGGATAGTGCATTAATATTTAAATCACCACATATTATTACATGTTTCTGTTTTGAATTTTTTCTACTTAAAATTTTTTCTACCTGATCAAAAAACCCACTGAATGCTCCAGAGGATGGGCGATATAACGCCACCACTACAGTTGAGGTTTTCTCATAATTGATTTCTACTGCTGCACACTCAATTATATTTTGAATAGAGAGACTTACAAAGTCTCTTCTTACCCTTGAAGGTATGTTGTCTTTTACAGGAACAAACCCCCCCCCCCCCCGTATACTATTAATCCTTCCGAAAAAAGACACTATTTTCCAACCCTCAAGCCGATTAAGAAAATCAAAGTTATCTTCACTTAGCCAATGCTCTGTTACACATAAAATATCTACACTGTATTGGCCTGAATCCAAATAAGCTAATAACTCGTCTATTTTATTGACAATACTCCTAATATTTACATGAAATAACCAAGATTCAAAACTTTTAGGAGAGATTACTTTACAACTGGTCTTTACTTTACAGAAACTTCTGGAGAAAGTAGAATTCCTAAAAAATTCTTCACAGCTGAACAACTTGTATTTAAATTAGAATTATTTACATTGGAGCCATTAACACCTAAGAGACTATTGTCAAGGATATTTTGGTCTGGTTTTGAGGTTGTGATTGAAAGGGGTGGGAAATCTTCAGTACGGAACATAGAAACAGGAAGGGATTTTTTAGTAGGTGATTGCCAGGCTGAATGTTTTGGGGAAGAACTGTGTAAGGAAGTTTTCAAGGAAACATCAGGGAAGGGTTCGATCAGAGAGGTGTTGGTGTTAGGTGCAGGAACACTCTCACTAGGCTTGTCACGCCTCACTTCACTCACCGCTTTGGCACTTGTAGACTCAGCCGCGGGGGTGCGGCGGCGCTCTGCATCTCCGATGAATTCCACCAGAAACTCTCCCAGTCACTCTTTACCCCGTCGATTAAGGTGGAGCCCATGTTTGGTGAAGTCAGACCTCCTGAGAAAGTAGTTGATGTCTTCATAGAATAAGTTGGGTTCTCCCTTGTAATTCCTGATTAATTTCATAGATAAACGGTTTGCAAAAAATATATTATCGTTGCAGAAGGGGTCGTCATGACGATAGGGCACACTACAAACCAAAACGTTAGTTCTAAGTTGCAATGAAGTAAGTTGTTCAATTCCTTGAGAAATAGTGAGTTGCCCTGGTTCGTAACGGTGTAGGTCGTTGGTGCCAGCCAGTATGATAACAAAATCGTCTTCATTGAAGTCTCGAATCATTCTAAGCCCATCTTGAATAACATGTTTTAATTTAGCGCCAGGTTTTGTGTAAACAAAGGTACTATACTCATTTCCCATGCTTTTCAAGTATTTATCAAGATCCTTTCCTTGATCCTTTCCTTATCCTTGTTGTAAAAAGTTATATAATATATGTGTATACTAATAATGATATACACACACATGTTTGTAAAGCTAATGAAATAAGAAATAAAAATAAGTCATAAAGTTTATGGTAAAAATATTTTTTTATTTATAAATAAAATAATGTTTTTGTATTTTAGCGATTTTGTGAGAAAAAAAATTCATAGTATTTAGTATATAACTTTTGTACCAAATGTTTTTACTTCAAACCAACATAAACATCTTGTAGTGTATTAAATTACCTACATAAAAATGTATAACACGTTGGGTAACAATTTTTGTTTTTACGTGCTAGGGGCATAATAATATAAATAAACGGAAAACCGCATAATACAACCGCAAGAAAAATACAACCTTTTATGAAGATTACTGTTATACACACTGTTCGATTGATTGTTTAAACTTCGGCTGGTGGGCCAAATGTTCAATGGGGGAGTAAAATATCAGATAATTACAAATTAGAGAGTGAGAAATAAGTAAAATTCGAAGGACCACCCGATTAGGTCGGGAACCATAGAGCTGGGAAACACCTTAATTAAATTAATGAATTAACACGTTGACTGCGCGTGCCGACTATACAGGCGCTCCCCAGTGGCGCGCGAAGCCCCGGCGCGCAACCGAATCAGCGAACGCAATTGGCATTCAAATATTTCAGTCTGACGAATCACAAAAGAGCAGTAGTGACTGTGCTGCGTTACCCTGAGAGTGGATGTGGTTCACTGAAACACCCAAAGGTAGCAGCACTGCACGGATCCGTATCCAGTGTCTTTGTAATGTGGGTAGAAGAGAGAAAATCCCCGAAACCGGGACAAAAGCATTGCCAGACAGGATTTTACGGGAAATTTTAGTACCAACCTACACCAAAGTAAAGCTCGCATTCTAAGCTGGCAGGCTGGCAACGATTATAACGTCTCCGTCTGAGGCTAAGCTCACACTGACTCAATATATTTCTGTTGGTCTGGTGCCGACTTTTGTCGGCGCGCGCCACCTGGGGGCGCTGGCGACGCCGACTGACGCCGACTAAAGTCGGCGTGCGCAGTCAACGTGTTAAAGAGAGTCACTCACCAATTTCCATTGTTATGTTAGGCTAGGGGAAGGCGTCGTGTCCAAGCTCGGGTGTTGCACAGAGGGATAAGTCACTAGGGATAGAGGGATCTTGATCTTGATTTAGTAGAGCGTTCACGCCAAAACGAATGTCTTTCAAATAATTATCTTCTGTCGCGAAATATCCTGAGAATCTGCTCACGAACGCGCACAAAGAAGTTCTAGAAGAGTAGAGCACAGACGAGGAGAATAATTTAAAACAACACAAGGGACTATAAAACACTGACTTTGATTTAGAGTAATAAAGGGACTTTACTTAAATACTGAACAATGATACATAAGAGAGAGTTACAAAGAGATAATTAATCCAAACGCCTATAAGAGAAGCGTGGATAAAAGGGAACACAGCAGTACGCTGTGTTTGCGACCTGCACGAGAACAAGAACTGAGGCGATCTGAGCTTTCCTGTGAATACAGGTATGTTACCGAGCGCTGGGAAATTCCGTTGCTGGCGGAAATGACTCAGCTTGGGCTTCGTCTATCTCTGTCTGCCTCACTCAGATAAAACTAGATTACATTACGAAAATATTAAAACTCAAAATATTGATTTGTTGGTAGAAATTCTTATAGCTAAAAATATTACTAATTAATATGTCTTATTGACTAAACACACACACACAAACTTCACTAACACTAACACTACGAACTAATAACGTATTTAGTAATAAATCGCGGATAACACGAGAGCGAACACTCACCGGCAACAACACACAATGTCGAATACAAGACAGACTGACAGACTGTAGCAGTAATGACTCACTTCCGTCGTCTTCATGTAAGCAGACGGAAATAACCCTGAGCGCAGGGCTGCCACTCTCACAATCTATATTTCTTCCTCTTCAAAATGACATATTATGACTAGTAATAATAACTTACACTGTATGTAATTCATATTTTCTATACCGTCACCTGACGATGGTTGGCCATTTGTTAAAAATTTTGAAAACAGCTGTTTTCAAAAAATCGTACCGGTTGTCCAATCAATATTTAGTTCTAAATATCACTACCAAAATGAAGATAAAATCAATGGCTATCCAGTGGTACCACCCGCAACATCCCAAGACAAAAATTACCCGAGCAGGGTGATGCCAAACAAGACGTGTTTAGCCAGTTCCCAAGTGTCATCTGCAAAAGTCGTGCCGCGCCAAAAAATCATTTGATCTAATCGTCGTGACATTGTTATATACCTGCTACAGGGTTTGTTTATGTAGTAAAATGAAAGTTCAGAATGTGATCTTTCGAATGGTATATATAAAATTATTCTCATCTGAGTTGATTATAAGTGTTTTTTTTACCGTTAAAATAATTTCGGCGCATACCGTCACCAGACAACGGTGGCCATTCTAAGCATCAACGTCAAACCGTCACCAGACGACGGTTGGCCACTGCTAGGGTTAAACAAGTTATTTAACAGAATACTTTTCCATCAATAGTTTACGAAAGTGCATGAACCACAAATGGTTTATATACTAAGAAAATTATTAATTTTATATGTACCTAACAGTGTTATCGGTTTAAATCAGTAGCTTGCTGTTTATTACTTTCAGACAGTTTTGTTCTTCTCTTATTTGTTATTTTGTCACATTTTTACACCACTCATTATGTATTTCTAGAGTGTTGAACCTTGCAATTGTTATGTTTTTATTCTGCTTTATTGTAATGTACCTGACATCCTGTTGTTTTTGTAATGCTTGTGTTATGCCGTAAATCAATGAAACTCATTAAATTTACTAACAATGCTGTTGCTTAGGCTGGTGGGTGTTGCTGGATGAAATTAACCTAGCCTCGGCAGAGACGTTGCAGTGTCTAGCAGGGCTGCTGGAGGGAGGTGCGTTACTAGAAGGGGAAAGTTCTTCATGCCATCCTCATCCTGAGTTTCGTTTACTGGCTGCCATGAACCCAGCAACTGATGTGGGCAAGAAGGATCTGCCTCCTGGTATTCGCAACAGGTAAAGTTCCAAACACCAGCGATGTGTCGAATCTGAATCTCGAATCTCAAATCCACTGAATCCTAAGAAAAGATTAGGATTTGAGATTCGATTAACGAGATTCGAGAATTCAAAGTAGGGATGGTCAAGTCTCGAAATTTCGGGAAATTTTCGGGAAATTTTAAATATCGTTACACGAGACGAGATTTCTTTTTGGCCGAGATTTTTATCGAGACGAGAATAAAAAAAAAATGTTTATTATGAGGAATGTTTATTACTATAAAAAGTCAAAACAAGTACCTAACTATTTTATAAAAATTAATATTGCTTTTATTTTATGATTTATTTTATTTTAGGATAAGTTGAACTCTATCCTAACTGATATCACTGTTTCCTAATCGTAGGCATTTTTAATAAGTTATGCGTGATTAATAAAAAAATGTTATGCTGATGTTTTTTAATAAAAGATTGTAAATATTCTTGCCTATTATCATTATTTTTGTATTTAAATAGTCATCTAACAATGTTACAAAATCAGGTAAAAATTTTGAACGTGCATTTCCCATTGTGTATGAGAAGGGAAATCCCGTCTCGATCTCGTCTCGAAAGTTTAAGAGAAATAAAAAATCTCGTCTCGTCTCGTCTCGAACTAAAAATCCAATCTCGTCCATCCCTAATTCAAAGATAAATTTTTTTTAGGATAGAATTATAAGGCATATACTGTGACATTGCATAACCATAAAGGTTATTATTGACGTTGTATTATACAGTGGAGAGCGAGCTGGTGTAGTGGTTAGAGCGTGGGACTTCAGTCCCTAAGGACCCTGGTTCAAATCCCACCAAGTCACCAATGGATTTTATCTAAGTGATAATGCAGCAACCCCTAGGTCTAGCCTGAAGTAATGTGAAAAACTATACCAGGCTTGTACCTAGCGTCCTATGAAAAAAAAAGAAAAAACTATACAGTACTTTTTCAAGAGGAGGTAAGAATGCTTTTACGCACACAGGTAGCCAGCTTGTAGTGTGAGACTCCTGAGTTTATCAGACTACTCACTAAAAAAACCTCTATACTCTGTTGGACACAGACTACTTCAGGTCAGGTCAACAATAAACCTAAGCCCTCAGGGCTCGCGCCATTTCTGGCATTCAATTTCTTTATGACCTAGACTGCATCCCGTTTAGTACTCTTAAATAAATTATTCTACTTCATTACTCTAACAACGTAAATTGTACTCATTGGTGAGGGGTGTAACAACTCAGAATACATAAATTAAGTTAATTTATCGTACGCGGTTAAGTACTTGGCCTACAATAGAAGTAGTTTAAGACAAATTGACTGGTCTTTTTATACTGAATCATTATTTTGCTAGGTCCGGGCGGATCAGCCCTTGTCGTTAACTCCCTAATGGTGCTTGTGCAGTAAAGAAGCCATATTAGTTCAGTTTACAATAAATCTCAACTTGTGTTAGCATCTTACGTCACACCCTGGCAAAACAACTCCCACAGTTTCAGTGAAGTCATCATTGTCACTCGGGACGTGGCAAAAATCATGGCAGTTGGAGCAAATCCTGTCTTCATAAAATCCTGAACTGAATAAATAAGGGATGATTTAATTTTGTCTGAAATTTCCTGAAATATCAGGACTTGTCCATAACAACAAATAAGCCTAAAATATTTTTCAGAGTAGGTACCTTTTAGCGAATTTCCCTATAGGGAAGTATTAGCGAATTTCCCTATAGGGAAGTAGCTATTACCGTAGGTCTCATGGTAAGACCTAGGCCCGGGACCGATTTACTTTTTCATTTTGATGTCCCCAGAGGCCAAAAACACCATTCGTTCAAATTTTTATATATCTATATATAGATATATATATGTGTCCATCCGCACGATAACTTGAGTAATTTTTGTCCGATTTTGATAAAATTTGGTTTGAAGGTGTAAGGCGGGATAAACTTGAACGAGTTCGCGAACCAGCGTGATCGGACTATGGAAACGGGGGTTTACGGGGGGTTTTATGGGGTAAAAATAGGTTTTTCCCATTTTTGACCCAAAAAACATAAAATTTTGCAAAATCTTTTCAAACCATTTTGTAGTGCTTAAAAAAACAAATAATTTAGTATATTGAAGTGTTACTATGCGCCTAATGGTTACGGAGAAAATTCCAAAAAAATGTAAATTTTAAATTCCCATGTTATTCTTATGGAGAATAAGTAAACTGATGGAGTTTGCTTGTTTATGAACATACTTAGATCAAATTTGGAAAATGTTTTTATTTCTTACTAACTATTAACATTTTACAAAAAAAGCAGTTTTACCCTCCCTGATGCAGCAAACCTAAGTACCTGTTAAACTAATTTTATTTAAATAGGAAATAAATGTTAAATTTTTAAGTAGACATTTTAGTGTAAATCCAATCAGACATATGGAAATTCGCTTAGTCCGCAGGTTTGCTGCGGCGAGGGTATTTTTAAATCTTACTAGCTTTTTCTAATCTTGTTATTGTTGTCACTAGGTTCTCTGAGCTGTATGTAGATGAGTTGACAGACAGGACAGATCTGGCACTGTTGGTAGGGTGTTATCTACCTGAGCTGCCACCAGCACGTACTGACGCTATAGTCAGGTTCTATCTTGATGTAAGACAAGCAGCTATCAACAGTCTCTGTGATACGACTGGCCACAAGCCTCACTACAGGTATAGTAATATTTTTTTTAATTTATAAATGTAATTATACAATGTGAGTGCCATAAAACTTGTTAAGAGTCCTGGTACGGCCCTGCATATCGCTCTAGACTCTGTTGATCACTTCCAACCTCAGCTGTTCGCTCCCAATGTTTTGACATCCTTCCGACAATGGTCGAATGAACTAATTGACTTAAAACAAGACAATGGAATTGGCTGACTCTGGAACTCGCTAACCAGTAACGTAATATTGCGAGTTATATGTAAAATAAAAACATTAAATTCCTTTGTATAGTTTAACTTAGACGCAATGGTGTAACACTTCTTTAAGATTTCCGTGGATTGAAAAAGGTACCATAGGCATGGGCGCCCACAGGGGTTTGCAAGCACTTGTACCCTCCTGGCTAAAAAAATTAGACAATAAATTTTATAGCTAGAATGTTTTGTAATTACTGTTACTACAGAACATTATAGCTATTAAATGTTCTAGCTATTAACATACCCTCCTTAATGTACAATACACTATTTTTATTTAGTAGCTTCTAGGCTATAAGTTACTGTAACGGTAAGTATTTCTCTCCTTGAAATACCCACTGTTACTTTGGGTGATGTAGCTCAGAAATAAATCTCAGGACTCACTTACAAAACCCAAAACAATACAAAGATAAGTAACAATCGTAAAATTAGAGTAGACTGGAACTTTATTAATAATTTAGTTAACCCAATTTGTAAAATACTCTAAACCTCAATTTGGAAAACTCTTAACATTGTCTTACCTGGATGGGCCTTGGGCTCCAGCTCCCCCAGCAGGATCCTGTCCTCCAGGGCACCACACTCACCACTACACACAAAACTAAACCCTTGAACAAGTGCACTGACCTACTTAAAGCAACAGCCTTCTGTAGGTCAGCACAAAAAGTAATTGTTTAACAACAGTATCAGCCTACTCATACAACATTGCCAAACATTTCCTCCTTGCATTACATTACCAAATAGCGTAAACATTTTGTTTTAAACACCATATTTATATTTTCGAACATTTTCTCGGACCACCCGCTCTAGAGCCGGGTTAGCGAGTTCTGGAGTTAGCCAATTCCGCGAACCCCTTAATCGAATCCAAACAATCGGTTTTACATTTTTAAACTACTGGATTAATGAAAGTGACTGACTACCCGATGCCAAATAAGAGCTATTTCTGTATATAAATTAAATTAGAGCTAAAATTGTTCAATGAGTGGTTTAGATAACTCACAAAAGTATCAGTTTGATTTTTTAAATATATATATCAAAACTGTGTTTCCATTTGAAAAAGAACATAAATACTGTAGTTTTGTATTGAAAGACTGGTTTTCTAATTATTGTTCCATGTTACAGTTTGCGCACGTTGTGTCGTGCCCTGGTAGTGTCCGCTAGTAATTCTTGTGGCAACTCTCAGCGCACTCTACATGCTGCATTGTGTCTAAGCTTCCTCACACAACTTGACACCAAGTCACACCAAGCTGTACTCAACATGATAAACAGGTGAAATATCACGATTACTTCTTATATTGCTTGTTATTACAATCACACAAGTTAGGCCTATAATATTTTATTTTATTAGTAAAATGTACTCTTTGAGCTTCAAAGACTTAGATATGGAACAAAGTAATACCATTTAACTAAATTTAATTTATATTAACTTTTTATGATAACATTATTTTCTATATGCTTTAGCTTTGGTTGACCAGTTTTCTTATTGTTTTGTTTTACGATAGAAAGCTAGATCAATGGCCGAATGGTTAAAAAGTAATTATAAAAAAAATACTATTCAAGTAATTAATTAAAATTAAAATAAAGTTACTTAACATTTCCAAACACCATTCTACATAACTGAAGTAGAGATCACATTACATAGTTACAATTAATTAACATATTTATTACCTAGGACGATAAAACATAGACTACTTCTTACTTTACTTAACATGTTATATTTATTCAGTGCCCTATACAGTATACACATTAAACAGTTTAGTGCCTAACCGATTCCTAATATTACTGTTTCATCTTGTTTTGTTTATTCACTGGACTATGTGTGAGCTGACAATATTTATGTTTCATGCAGGGCTGTTGCTGAAGGGGGAGACATAAAAAGTGTATTGGGCCAACCAATACCTGAACCTCTACCTCTGGGCAAACATATCTGCTTTGAGGGCTACTGGGTGAAGAAAGGAAACCTCAAGCCTGCCTTACCAGACAATGTAAGTCCTTTTAGCGAATTTCCCTATAGGGAAGTAGCTATTACTGTAGGTAGGTGGCATGGTAAGACCTAGGCCCGGGACTGATTTCCTTTTTCATTTTGATATCCCCAGAGGCCAAAAACACAATTTGTTCAAATTTTTTATGTTTGTATGTATATATATATATATATATATAGGCCTATATAGTTTTATATAGGTCTATATATGTGTGTGTGTGTGTGTGTGTGTCCGAGAAGTCCTTTTTAGTTCAGTTGCCATTTACAGCTGATATGCGTCGGCCAGTAAGTTATTGCTTGCACGCTAAGTATGTATATATAAAAGTGACGCACACTGGACACTAAAAAGTCAATTGTGTTATTGTTACTGATTAATGCTTGTGTTTTACAGTATATCCTGACTCCCTGTGTAAGACGCAACCTGCAGGATCTGTCTCGTATTGTGTCCCTATCGCAGTACCCAGTTTTGGTTCAGGGAGACACGTCTGTGGGGAAAACAAGTTTGATTACTTTCCTAGCTGCAGCTACTGGCAACAGGTAAATGTAATGGATCACTACATTCAACAATCTACAGTAGAATCTCTATTAACCATCACCTCAGGACTGGAAGCGTTACGGTTAAGTAAATGGACGGATAACAGAAATGTTGTTATAAACCTTGTACTACAGTAAGTTGATTTAAAAGGTTTTGGAAGAAATTAAACCCTGTAAAAGTGAATACTACATACAAAAGTGTTATTTTGTATGTTGTACTTTTTGAATGTTTGTACAGTAAAATAAAATCACATTTAAATAACGCAAAGAGTGCTAGCTATGCTAACAGGTGTTGTCACGGTCAAGGGAAGACAATTAACAAAGTCGCAGAGGCTGCAAACTACGCTGACGGGTGTGTCGCGGTCCTGGGAGATGATTACCGATGTTGAGACTTCAGGTTATGCTCCTCACCTCACGGGGTCCGACCTTTTGGCCTTTTCAACCATGGCCTGGTCCCGTCATTGTCGGACATGAGGGGTTCTACTGTATGTCATAACTGAAGACTTATGTAATGGGGTATATGATTTGTACATATAGATGGGTAGTTGAGTGGTTTAGTGTTCACTTTTGACCCAAAATATTGCTGATGCTGGTTCTGCGAAAGTCGGTAGCTTTTTGACGGGTCAAATCTGAACAACTCAGCTGACCATGATCATTGGCATTCAATTTATCTGGGACAAATAAACAGCTAGTAAATAAACAGTCAGTAACAAACCTACACAAGTCATTTCATTAAATTGTTCACTAATAGTATTTAGGTTGAAATACACTCAGCACTCCACTGAAACCTTACGTACGTCAGGGGGTTTACTAATGATCCTCTGATTAGTAGGGTCGCTGAATTACAACTTGACTACCCATATGTGAACGGTATCACATTACTAAATATTGAATGTGGAACGACAATAAAACATAGCATAACTTCTGGAACAATTTTATACAATACAATTTGTTAAACCTTAGCCTTGTTGTAATCAACTTAAAGCTTTTCTTGGGTTTTTATCTGCTTTACTTTAAAAGAAATCCTAGACCAGTTTGCTTGTGTCTGCTAGTATATTTTTTTCAAATCGTAAAGATTGTTTTCTTTACTAGATAAAGGCAGGGTAAAATTGGGAATTGACAATAATTTGTACACTTCAAAATATGGTAAATCAAATCCCAGCTCCATCCTCAAATTCTTTCACTGATCACAATTATTTTTTTCCTTGATCCTCTCAGGTACATGCTGGTCGCTCTTAAAGGCTCGTCCAAACCGAAGCGGGAAAGTGGCGGGAGCGGTGCGGTAGCGGGAAGGGGGTGAGTGACCGGCGGGAACCAGCGGCAGCGATACGTGGCGGGAAAGAGGTAGCCCACACCGAAGCTGCAAGCAGCGGGAACGGGACGACTCATCAGTTAATTTTCATCTTAGCTACAGAGTGGTTGTGTTAAGTGAATGTTTGTGGTTTATGCGTTCATTTCATGAATCGTAATTTAAAAGAAGCTTTGCTCTTGCTAGCAACAGCTGAGGATGAAGATGAAGCTGCAAGACGGCGATCTGTTTGGGTTCATGAAATTAATTAAAATAGACATTTATTTGGCGAAATACCACCATACCCTTATGCCCAATCTAAGGAAAGACAAAAGGTGGGTTCAAAGGGGATTATCTACTACCCAAAAACTACTTTAAATTTCAATAATTTTATGGTGAGGTGGCTAAAAAATAACAAGTCTTAACATCATGAGCCATCTACCCATGTGTTCCCGCGGCGGTACGAGCGGGAAAATCCAACATGTTTCAAACCGGCGGGACGATCAAACAACGCTGCGGGACGGCGGGAGCGGTACCGCTCTAGTGTAGGTGCTCACATCTAACACTATGTGTTTTAAAATCCCGCGCGGGAATTTGTCCCGCCACCTTCCCGCTCCCGCCGCTTTCCCGCTTCGGTTTGGACGGGCCTTAATGCTGCTAATATTTCTTGCCTTTATCCAATTCATGACCAAACTGCATGTTTTTTCCATTTTAGCGAATTTCCCTATAGGGAAGTAGCTATTACCGTAGGTGGCACGGTAAGACCTAGACCCGGGACCGATTTACTTTTTCATTTTGATGTCCCCAGAGGCCAAAAACACTACTCGTTCAAATTTTTATATATGTATATATATATATATATAGACATATATATATATATATATACGTCCGTGAACGCGATAACTTGAGTAATTTTTGTCCGATTTTGATGAAATTTGGTTTAAAGGTGTAAAGCGGGATTAACTTGAATGAGTTCGCGAACCAGCATGATCGGACCATGGGAACGGGGCTTTACGGGGGGTTTTATGGGGTAAAAATTGGTTTTTCTCACTTTTGACCCTCAAAACACAAAATTTCCCAATTTCTGTTTAGACCTTTTTAAAGAGCTTAAAAAAACAAATAATTTAGTATATAAAAGTATTTTTGTTCAATTATTAGTAACGGAGAAAATTTAAAAAATTGTAAATTTAAAATTCCCATGTTATTCTTATGGAGAATATTGTCAAATGTTGTAGTTTGCTTGTTTATGAATATATTTTGATCAAACTTGTCAAATTTATTTATTTTGTACTAAGCTATCAATATTTTACTCAAAAACACACTTTATTTGTTTCCTTGTAGCAGCAAACCTAGGTACTCGTTAAACCTAATGTTATTAAAATATAATTTAACTGAAAATCAATTCAGACAAATGGAAATTCGCTTAGTCGGCAGGTTTGCTGCGGCGGGGGTATTTTCAGATAATCTTTTGGCTAAAGCTCTTAAAAACTTTAAGAATTCATATCCAAAAATTCTATTCAGTATTCAGTTGTGAAAAGTGGATTAAATAGGCGTTCAAGAGCGTTATTTTTTCTTTTTTTTTGTCATACTTTTAAATTTTAATGTTGATTTTCCCATAAAAACCCATAAAATATTGGAAAAATCAGATTTTCTCAAAAATGGCCTGAACGATTTTGATAAAAATTTAGTATGTTGCAGCCCTTTGAATTTTGAATAAAATGTTACGACTCTCATTTCTTTAAAAATTACGGTTTAAAAGTTATTGTAAATTATGTTATTTTCTCATAAAAAACCCAATAAAATAACAAAAAATAGGATTTGAGAAAAAAGCCGGTTTTGATTTAACTTAGTATGTTATGGTCCTTAACATTTTGAAAGTTTTTTCATTTTTTTTGAAATTTTGATTTTTAATGGGGTGGGGATTTTCCCATAAAACCCTATAAAATAATGGAAAAATCGGATTTTCTCTAAAATGGCCCGAACAATTTTCCTAAAAATTTAGTATGCTGTCATTGTCTTTTATACTCTAAACAAAATGGAAAAAATTACGGTTCAAAAGTTATTGTAACTTAAATTATTTTCCCATAAAAAACCATAAAATAACAACAACAAAAATCGGATTTTTGGAGAAAAGCTGGTTTTGATCAAAATTAATATGTTATGTTATAATTCTTAAAAAAATAGTACAACACCCTATCGCTGTAACAATTACGGTTCAAAAGTTATTGTAACTTTTGTGATTTTTAACTATAAAATATCATATTTACCCTCACCGCTTACTAGGAGTCTCAATCCCGGGCCTTCAATCCAATCCCGGGATTTCAGGATTCGCCTCAGCCGATCCCGGGATCAATCCCGGGATTATATAATATTATGATTTTTAACTTTTTAACCATTTTACATGAGCGAGAAGTCATGTACCCTCGTTAAAGTACCCTCGTTGAGTACTGTAATGTTTTAAACTGGCCTTACCAGTGTTACACTGCGCAATGTTCCCATTTTCTAAGTAAATAAATATTACCACGCGGAACTTTCGTCGCCCGTATTTCTTATTTACAGTGTATAAATGTTGATATGTCACTCTAGAATATAATAAATACATTTAAAAAAATCTCGAGCAACCGCACACACACGTAGCCTATATGTCACACTAATAGATAGATTAAAGATAGCTAAGAGAAAAAGATAAAATGGGAAGAATCACGAGTATAAGATACTGTAAAACAATAAACCATCTGCTTATGTAGTAGCATGTGTATGAATACCCCCGCCGCAGCAAACCTGCAGACTAAGCGAATTTCAACTTGTCTGATTACATTATTACTAAAATATTTCCATGAATAAGACATATTTATTCCTAGTTTAAATAACATCAGATTTAACAAGTGCTTAGGTTTGCTGCTACGGGGAAGGTATAAAGTGTTTTTTGACCATACGTCAATAGTATAGGATGAAATAAATAAATTTGCCAAATTGTATCAACATATATCCATAAACAAATAAACTACAACCGTTTTCATTTTCTCTATAAGAATAACAAGGGAATTTTAAATTACACTATTTTTGAATTTCCTCCGTGACCGTTAGGCATACAACAGCGCTTAAATATACTAAATTATTTCTTTTTTTAGCTCTACAAACCAGTTGAAAAATAAATTGCAAAATTTTTTGTTTTTAGGGTCAAAAATGGGAAAAACCTATTTTTACCCCATAAAACCCCCAATAAACCCCCGTTCCCATGGTCCGATTATGCTGGTTTGCGAACTCGTTTGAATAAACGTAGGTTTACACGTTTGTACCAAATTTCATCAAAATCGGATCATTTTTGCTAAAGTTATCACGCTAACGGACACACACATATATATATATGAATTTGAACGGATGGTGTTTTTGGCTTCTAGGGACCTCAAAATGAAAAATTATATCGGTCCCGGGTCCAGGTCTTACCATGAGTACTACGGTAATAGCTTATTCCCTATATGGGAAATTCGTTAAAAACGTAATTTTAGATTGTAAGAAATTTAATCACCACACTAATAACCAAATAAGAAGATAAAGTTATAGACCCTAAATATAAGCAATCTTAATAACGAGATTATAATCGTGTGTTTATGTTTAGTACCTGGGGACCGAGCTTTGCTCAGGTAAAATCATTAGTTTAATATGAAAGCAGTCTTAGTATTGCAGATACATTAATCCATTCCCAAACTCCACACTGCTCGCCTTAACTACTTCGTTCACCACTTCCTACGTCGTGGGTCTGTTTCCTTCCCTTCCCATAGCATTTTAAGATTGCAGATACCTTAATCCAATCGTCATAAACTGTTTCCGCAATCCGGACTGTTCTCCTTTCCTACTTCCTTCACCACTTCCTACGTCGCTGACCTGTTTCCCTCCCTTTCCACAGCATTTTAGGATTGCAGATACCTTAATCCAATCGTCATAAACAGTTCCCGAACTCCGGACTGCTCGCCTTTACTACTTCCTTCACCACTTCCTACGTCGCGGACCTTTTTTCTCCCTTCTCATAGCATTTTAAGATTGCAGAAACCTTAATCTAATCGTCATAAACAGATCCCACATTCCAGACTACTCGCTTTGACTACTTCCTTCACCACTTCCTACGTCGCGGACCTGTTTCCCTCCCTTCCCATATCATTTTAAGATTGCAGATACCTTAATCTAATCTTCAAAAACAGTTCCCACGCTCCGGACTACTCACCTTGATTACTTCCTTCACCACTTCCTACGTCGCCGACCTGTTTCCCTCCCATCCCATAGAATTTAAGATTGCAGATACCTTAATCTTATCTTCAAAAACAGTGCCCACACTCCGGACTACTCACCTTCACAACTTCCTTCGCCACTTCCTATGTCGCGGACCTGTTTCCCTCCCTTCCCAAATCATTTTAAGATTGCAGATACCTTAATCTAATTGTCATAAACAGTTCCCACACTCCGGACTACTCGCCTTGACTACTTCCTTCACCACTTCCTACGTCACGGACCTGTTTCCCTCCCTTTACATTGCATTTTAAAATTTCAGATACCGTAATCTAATCGTTATAAACATATCCCACTAACACTGCTACCCTTGACTACTATGTATCGAGTTCAGTTTAATCTTTGCTTAATAGTAACAACTGATGTTTTTCCTTTTGTACTGTATTTTTTTTGCTAGTATACTGTGGATAGAGAACTTCTGCGCATGCGCACGCTGAGGTGCCCGTGGGTACAAAACGTCACGTTATGTCTTAAAATGTAAACAAAATGACAACAATGGCGGAATGTTTTCTCATAAGGCCCATGTTAAATTTTCAAAAGTTTGTACTCATATTATGGCGAAAATAGATTTTTCCTGGCTATACCACTGGTCTAGAACTTATTTTTGACACAGAACTTAGTTATTCCGTAAATATAAACGTTTTTGTTAGGGCCGATTCCCAGATCGAGTTGACAAGTATTCAAACTTTACTCGTATTATATATAGGATAGTTATATTTTATGGCTTCAAAGGAAATAATGCTTAAATTTCCGATTGTAATGTTATGTATGCTACACGAATTGTGTTGTTTACGTTTAATGTCAAAAGTAAAACTCAAAATAACTTGTAGGCCTACTTTAATTAAGTTCTAACTAATGTAATAACATTTACAGAAAGTAAATCCAAATCGTCTAAAAACCGAAACATATTTAGGCCTACATTCGTTCGCCTATTGAGTTTAATAAACATTAAATTTTCCAATTAAAAAAGATCATTACCTTACTTATACCATTTCATATAATCGCCCTAAAAATAAAGAGTATATGTGTTTCAAGTGTTATTGGACTATTTTTATTAATTTTCCGTAAGTAAAAGTCTTCAAATTCACAAAAAAATCAATGTAAACGTAAGTTTTGCAATCCCCTTTATCCCGGGATTAAAAGTCACCAATCCCGGGATTTCTAGGTATCAAAAATCGGCCGGGATCCCGGGATTGAGACCCCTACCGCTTACCCATGATAAAGGTTGTTGACAAGCTTATGGGGGAAAGTATGTGTCAGGATGCTGATACCGTTTATTTATTTTTTATGACTTTTTCATGAGGAATGGAAACATAAGATGAAGCATCAAACAATGCTTACACCTGAGTTTTCAAAATACCTCTACAAACTTGTTCTGCTTTTGAGTGCCAGTTCATTGCTTCATGAGTTATTCCTTCAGCTGCTAAGGGTAAAGTAGTAGATAAATCTTGTTGCTGCTCAATAAAAGATTCTTGAAAAGTGCAAAACTGTGTATGTAATTGTATCAATATTATCCTTTCTGCTGTTGTGATTATTGATTACTGTAATAAATAATGTATTACAGATGTGTTCGAATCAACAACCATGAACACACAGATCTTCAGGAATACATTGGGTCTTATTGTGCTGATGAAACTGGCCGTCTTGTGTTTAGAGAAGGTAAAAACAATTGTTTGTGTTACTTACTAAGTAAGTATGTCCACTGTCCAGTCAGAAAACAAGATATTAAAACAACTTTCTGGCAAACGTCTAATAATCAATTGTTACATGATTTGATTTGATTTTTAAAAATTTATATCCCTCTCTTTGCTATTTTCTATAATTAGGCCTACAAGGAAGAACAGAATTATTTCTTATTAAATGTTTAACTTTATTTTCAATTAACAAGATGTAAATATAGGCTATAATAATTTACATACATTTTGGATAACAGAATTTCTTCAAAAGAGTAAATTTGGATTTAAAATTATTAAATGCCAACATCAGTAACAAGTTTAAAGCTAGTATCTTGGAAAAAAATAAGGGGTCTGCGGTACAGAAAATTTAAGGTCGGTACGGTTCGGTATGGTACAAATTTTGTACCTCGGTTCTCGGTACAAAATCAGTACGGTACGCGGTTACCAGTAATTTTGCGGTTTCTCCTCAGATTGAAACCATTATTTTAAATTTCAAAGACATTACTATGAAAATGGATTGTATCCTACATTAATGATTTTCTAACAACAATTAATTACTGTCCCACACATTATTAAAACCTTTACTTCTAACAGGGCTGTGTCAAGAAATGAACAAAGTTAAGACAAAGGCTTCACCTATTTTACTACTAAGTTAAGTACTTGCCTTGATAATTGGGGTCTGAGGGCCAGACTTTTTTTGGTTCGGGTTGGGTCAAGCCAAAAATTGTTTACTAATGAATTTTTTTGTTTGAACTTCTATCTTTGTTTATAATATAACTTGATAATAAACTATGAAAAAAAACAATATTAATGTATATTATTTCATTTTTATATCTTATTTACAGCTTGGGAATTGCCTCAACTGCAAGAAAGAAGAAAATACAATTTTTTTTATCAAGACATTCTTCCTCATTTTTATAACTATTGATATAACTAAGAATGGCTAAATTACAAAAGTTTTGAATATAACTTAACATAAAAAGATTATAAAACAAAGCAAATAACATACATATCACAATTTTAGGGCCTGTTGACTGGCTTAAAAACTGCAAGAAAGAAGAAAATATAAATTCTACGTTTCCACAATGCAATATGTATCATTCATTCCCTCCCTACTAACCTCCTGAGTACAAAACCTCACACTTGCAATAGCATTATTAGTTACAGCATCATAAATACATAAATCTCTTATTGGCATTAGTAGGCCTACAGCTTTACATAAGAATTATTTTTATAGGGCCTAAAAAAGTAATAGGCTAAGCAACATGACATGGCAAGTCAAGAACTCATCGAAGAAAAGATGTTGTGTAAACTGATTTACTACAAAACTCTAAAATAGTATTTGACACACACATTGTTTACGGTATAATTAGTAAGGATTGTAAAAATTGCATATGTCATACAGCATAGATAGACCTACAGCACAGCAAAAGATTGAAATCTAAAAACAACTGATTTTGATAACTAATTAATTAAAAGAACTAAAAATCCATAAACTCAAGTCAAGATATTGTTTATATCACAATTAATTAGGTACCCTAAAAGGAACTCTTAACTAATTAATATATAGAAGATTATATTAAATCAATAGAAAATAAAATTAAATGCCAACTTGGAAACATAATGCAGAGACACTAGTTCCCTAATTAAAAACACAAGTGAATGTTTTTAAACTGTAAGTCAATGTTTTTGAAACTGCAGGGTCTTTTTCTTGGATGGAAGGGCAGTGGGATGTAAACAAACCATAAATCACTCTCACCATCTAGGCCCAGAGGCATTCAAGTTCATAGACCCTCTCTCTCCCCTCTTGAAACACCCGTTTGCTCCATTTGGTAACAAAATTGTATAGCGAAACAATTAAAGAATTAGTGGACAAAAATAATAAAAATATATATTTCTTTATTAAAAAACATAGCTGTTACAAGATTATTTTCAAAGAAAGTAATTCATGGTAGTTTGTGTCTTGTAAATATTTTATTAGAAAAAAAAAATCATTTTACTGTTGTAAAATACGGAAATACTGACTAGAGTTTATAAAAACTATTATTTTTATGATAAAATATAATTGGGATATCAAAATAATTATTACGCTAGTAATAAATTAAAGTCAGCCTTTTTATGCTCGGAACCAACTACCAACTGCCGTTGAATAAACTGAAAGTAGTTTATTATTATAATAGGTTGTACTGAACCGATTTTGTACCGCATAAAATGCTGTACCAAACCGATGAAGGTAATTAAGCTTGTACCTTTTTCGGTGCACCGCAGACCCCTAAAAAAATAGTCTACAATCCTAACAACATTTTTTAAATTATTAAGATTATTTACACCTAATGCATCCCCTAAACCTCCCCCTAAACATTATTTATCACCTAGACCTAATGCATCTAATAATCAGAATTCACCTATTGGTGGTGTTAGCATTGTTTGATCTTCTAGTGTAACTTATTTAGGAGTTGATGTTTGGTTTAAGCTACATTTAGTTGCTTCTTAACGCTATGAATATATAGGGCAATTCATTTCTGGATTTTACCAAAAGTTTCTTAGCAATAGGTAAAAGCCTACCAAATCTGTTGGTAAACCAAGGAAGAAAGGAAAAATCTCTGAAGAGGAAAAAGCAAAAAATTGGATCCCATCTCGGCTAATGAATTATACGACCCGAAACAGAGTACTTTTGTATCGAGAATTTCTTAGCCACTGTGTGTGAAGGGATAAATGTGGCTGCGACTTGAACAGGACGGTAGCTACCACCCAGTGGCTGCGACCTTAATGAGGAAGCGTCCTAAGGATACGACAGAACTGTAGAATCTTAAATTTGTGTTTTTGGAAAATTTAAAATATTTTTTTCAGCTTTAATTTGTTCTGGAAGGTATTTTTAAATGGTCCTACCACCATGGATACCCTTCATATTCAGATCTGTGCTCTCAACAAAAGATGTGTGTTTTAACCCCGAAAACTTCACATTGTCAAGAGTTTTTAATAAACTTAGCCCAAACTTTTTCTTTCGTCATAGGCTCTCCTGTTATCAAGACGGATAAGCCCTACTGCCAGCTTGTTACAGAATTGTTTACTCTATTCTCACATACTGTATTGTGTGCCTAATTGGGGTAATGACAACCTTCAAACTACAAAAAGAAGCCATCAGATATTCTTAAATCTCAAGTATGGACAATTTAGCTTATCCGTGTTTCATACAAATTATATCTTGTCCTACCCATCAGTTTTTATTGTTGAATCCTGTTTCTTCTGTAAAAAATATCCACGAATGTTTAAAATTCATCAGCTATTACACAACACCTTCAAACTAAGGTGGAAGTTTTACATTATGCACATTATGTACTTTTTGGCAAAAAAGGTTCTGATTTTTATTTATATTTTTTCCAGGTGTTCTTGTACAAGCGATGAGGCAAGGACACTGGATTATCTTGGATGAACTAAACTTGGCTCCGACTGATGTCCTGGAGGCTTTAAACAGAGTCCTGGATGACAACCGGGAACTGTACATCCCAGAGACACAGGATACAGTCAAAGCCAATCCGGGATTCCAGTTGTTTGCTACCCAAAACCCCCCCGGACTCTACGGAGGAAGAAAGATGCTCTCTAGAGCTTTTAGGAACAGATTTGTTGAACTGCATTTTAATGAGATTCCAGGGCCAGAGTTGGAAACTATTTTGCATCAAAGGTAAGATCAATCGGGTCTTTTGACGAAGTGGGCTGACATATGCATTGTTCGCATTGTTGACGCTTCTCAATATTGTTATGAATATTGTTTCCATCTTGTTGTGTTGTATTAATGTAAAAATGGAGTTGTCCGTTGGTATGTAAAATAAAAAGAATAAAATAAGACATTAAGATTTTCCGTGTGCAAGTTAGTTTAGGTATGGATTAGAATAGGGGTTATGGATGTTAAGCACAAGGGCTAAAACTTGTGCATTTAAGTTTTTGATCAGTCAAGATCAGTGATTGTATGATTGTTAATGTTGTTATTATCTGTAGATGTGCAATGCCGATGTCGTACTGTAAGAAGCTAGTTTCTGTAATGTCGGACCTGCAACTTCACAGGAAAGGAAGTGCTACTTTCGCTGGTAAACTAGGTTTCATCACTCTGCGAGATCTTTTCCGGTGGGGAGAACGATATCGTCTGGCCAATCTCAATCAAGGTTGGTGGTGTATTTAACTTTTCTTCATTTGGGTCTTAGGGGTGGGCGAGTAGTGATTTTTCAATTCGAGTCGAGTCGAGTCGAGTAGTTGAGCGTTAAGTAGGCCTAGGCCCAGGGTTTAGGCTGCGGTAGTATTTTTAGCATCATGCTATTCACAACTTAAAAATGCTAGGTTTACATTGTTTTGCAGGCTAGGCCTATGGCAAATTTTCTACAAATAAAATTGAAAGATGTAATGTACAAACAAATGTAATATTAGCCTACTGGAACTTTTTGTTTTAAATGCTTAAGTTATTGAATAATATTTTTTCTACAGTCAACTTAGTTTTTGTCTTTGCAGAGAGTTCGCAGCATTTTGCTGAAACAAATTTCATCCTAGCCTAAACCCTGCCTAGACCTAAATACAGTAGGTAGTTTAAGTACTTATACCAAATTTTCTAAGTTATATGGTTAGCCTACTAATTATTAGTACCTCCTACCTTAGGCCTGATAAAAAAACTGGCCTAGACCACAGAAAACGTACTACTATACCCAGAATGCCAACCGCATAGTAAAAAGCATTAAGCGGTTTGAGAGAGCTTTGCCTGTCAATCCGTAGGCAGCGCCACCAGCGTTGCCATGCAATAGCATAGCACTATCATACTACTACCATGCTACTATCATTTTTAAAGAAATAGCAACATAATTATGGATTATTATATATCATTTTGTTCAGAATAAAACAAAGAACAATAATATAGGTGGTTTACATGGTTACCAAAAAAAAATTTTTTTTAGTTTTTCCTAATTTTAGGCATTATTAGTTTTTTATAAAATGTTTTATATTCCGTCGTGTAGCTAAGTGCAGGTTAGACTTATCATCATAAGGTAAATTGTAAAGTTGTAGTAAATTTTGTGCTGATTCCAAAAATATATAGTTTATATAGCTTACTTTGTGTATTTTGTTTGCTAGCCCTATTATTATGTTGATCGTACCCCCGCGCTAGTACCAAATAATCATCCAACCCAGGTCATGTACAAAACCGTACACCTTAAATAATATATAATTCCATGGTACTCTGGTTTGAATTATTTACCTTATTTATTACAACAGTAGCCCTAAAAAGCAAACAAAACTAAAAAAAAAAAAAAAAAAAAAAAAAAAAAAAATTATATATAGGCCTACCACAACACCTGCATTGGCACCGTATATCCGGCGTTGCCATTTCGGCCGCGGCCGTTCGCGCCCTATATCCGGCGTTTGCCAGCGCTAGGGTTAATAAGGTAACTTTTAGTAAGACTAAGGTAATTTTGGTAAGAATAATTTCAATTCAAATAAGAAACAGAAGCTATAAAAATAAATTTATTTATAAAACAGAAAACTAATATCAAACTAGGTACATATTGTATCATAAGTTAAAAAAATCAATATGCAATTAGGTATTTTAAAATAATCACTTAGATAAGCACTTCATTTGTTTTAAGTTTTAAGGTTATGGGTACTAGGGCTATCCTCTTCACTCACTCAGTACATTTATAAAAATGATCAAGTCACTCGTCTCTGATAGACTGAAAATATCAAACAAAAACATAGTAGGCCTATTGTCTCGAAATGAAATCCCACATTAAACACTTAATTTAAAATAAAACACATTTCACTGTAGCCCAGTATAGCCTATTTGGCCTTTCTTTATAAACTAACATTTTCTAGTCCTAAACGACATGGTATATTAGGTGAGGTCAATACTTCAGTATGATAATATTTTTGTTGGGCATCACTCACCTTATTGAAATCACGAGAACGTAGTCCTTGTCATGTCACAATCATACACAGTTCATTGCACATAAAAATATACAAAAATAAAAATAAAAATAAATCCAAATTTAAAATATCAGACAAAAGTTCTCAACACCGACGTTTTGCCGCACCAAAATCAACGTGCGGCGTTTTCAAGGTTATTCCTCTTCTCACACAATCGTTGTGAGCGCCTAACCACGACTGACGACCCCGGTGGTGGAGGAGGGGGAGGGGGGACTCTGTTATCTAGAACAGCTGATGGCATTATCTTCTTTAAACTTCCCCCTCCTCCACCACCGGGGTCGTCAGTCATGGTTAGGCGCTCACAACGATTGCGTGAGAAGAGGAATAACCTTGAAAACGCCGCACGTTGATTTTGGTGCGGCGAAACGTCGGTGTTGAGAACTTTTGTCTGATATTTTAAATTTGGATTTATTTTTATTTTTATTTTTGTATATTTTTATGTGCAATGAACTGTGTATGATTGTGACATGACAAGGACTACGTTCTCGTGATTTCAATAAGGTGAGTGATGCCCAACAAAAATATTATCATACTAACATTTTCTAGGTTAAGTTACAATTCAAACTGTCGTTGTCATGTTTCTGCCACCAGATTGAAAATTGCACAATCAAAATCACAAACAGAATATGTTTATTTTACTTTCTATTAAACTTCCACTAAAAAATAAATATTCTTTTCAGTTACAAATTCACTTCAAAGTAAAAACATTCAAAACTGACATTGATATAACTTCAATCACTCCAATCCATTGTTTTGTTGTTACGCCAGCTGTCACAATATCTGCTCTCTTTCTCTCTCCCTCTCCCTCACTCTCTCTAGTTAGTCTGCTCATTGACTCATTCTGCTTCTGCTTTGTTTTCCCATCAAACAGCTGTTTTGCAGGACTGACGTTGCCATATTTATCATTACACCATTATGGTGAATGTCGGTAAAATTATCATAAAATTGCTATAGCTTTTATTTCGTAAAAAAAATAATAGTTTGACTAATTTTAATCATGTTTATGTAAACTGATTAGAAAATAAATTATACTTATAGTTTGTTTACGCCAATACCACAGTTGTATAAGTACAACAATTATCGTCCATCTGGCAACACTGAGTTTAAAGTGGAACTGAACTGATCTTTTCTTTCTGCCAAGACCCAATGAGATTGCGTCATTCAGATGCATCGATGTTCCTTGCAGTAACTTATCGGTTTATAAAACTAAACACTAATACCGATTAATGTGAAAAAATATTATGCTACAACAGGTTATTTTTATTTGTTGTATTTCTATATTTTGGTATAAAGTATTTTGTTATTTCTATATTTTGGTATAAAATATTTTTATGGCAGTTCAAACTAAATCTGATATTGTACTAAATAATATCTTCAAGAATCGTCTGCCATTGTTATACTAGTCACGAGACTCCCTTGTTGACTATTGCAATTCGATAGATTCATTCAATGCTTTATTTCAAATTTCAACTTACTGTATCGTTATCGAGACGTATTGTTGACTGTTGTAGGAAAGTGAAAGTCTGTTAGTAGTCCTCTTGTTAGCTCTGCCGAATGACGATGGGTGTTTGTTGAACATTTGGTTTAAGCTGGTCTAACCTATATGAGGTTAGATAGTGTATTAATTTTAAGTGTATTAACTTAGCTTCTGTTCAACCACTTTTAATTGAAAAAGAGTTTGAATTCTGTTTGACTGAAATCAGTACTTCCAGGCTTACATTTTTATTTGGGTGTATTTATAGATCTCCTAATTACTTGAACCTAGACCAATTTTTTGAAAATTTTGAAATTTTGTTAGACATTCTGTGTAAAAAATTTGAAACAATTATTATTGCTGGTGATTTTAATATAGACGTTTTAAAAAAAGATGATAAATATACCAAATTTATTAATATTTTAACAATTTATGGCATGAGATACACAGTTAACTTTCCAACCCGAGTGACTGAGCACTCAAGCACAGCCCTAGACAACTTTATTACAAATATAGATTCTCATAGCTTAAGAGTAACTGGGTTAATTACTCATATCTCAGATCATGACGGTCAGTTAATGGAACTGAGAGTTCCTGATTACAAAAAACCAAAATTCATAAAAAAACAAGTAAGAAAGTTTGATGAAAGAAACAAAGAAACTTTTCTTAGAGGTTTAAGTTCAGAGTGCTGGTTTCAGGTTATTCATTCTACTGTTGAGTTTAAGTATAATGTATTTTATAATATTTTTAAGTATCATTTTGAGGTAAATTTTCCGAAACTTTTTGTCACAGAAGGCCTATGTAAGCAAAAAAAGTGGGTTGACGATGTATCAAAATTGAAACAGTCTGAAATAGTCCACTTAGAATCTCAATTCAGAAAACTCAAGGACAAAAATATTAAGATTCAGATTAGAAAAAAGAAAAAAAGAACTTCAAAGATATATAATTAACAATAAAAAAACTTACTTTGAGGAAAAAGTTACAAACTCAAGAAATAAAGTTAAAACTACCTGGAACTTAATTAATTCCGAATTGGGAAAATTGTCAAAATGTAATACAAATATAAAATTGATGCACGAAGGTAGTTATATCACAAATCCAATTGATGTTTGCGAAACTTTTAATATATTTTTTGTCAATATTGTAAAAGATTTAATAGTTCCTAAAATAACCATAGTGCCTCCAGCAAATACTCAGTTTAAAACACATTTAAATACAACTTTTCAATTTTCAACTGTCACGGAGAGAGATGTTGAAAAAATAATATTATCTTTTGAAAATAAACCCTCATCAGGCAATGATGAAATACCTATATCAACCATTAAGACAGCGTTGCCATTAATCTGCTCACCTTTAACTCATATAATTAATCATTCACTGATAACAGGAGTGTTCCCCGAACAATTCAAAACTGCCAAAGTAGTTCCAATTTTCAAAAAAGGTAATCCAGAAGATATTAATTGTTACAGGCCTATATCACTGCTTCCAGTATTCTCAAAAATCCTTGAGAAAGTTGTTTTCAACCAATTTTCAAACTACCTTGAATCAAACATGTTGCTGGATAATGAACAGCATGGTTTTAGGCCAAATAAGTCAACTATAACAGCCGGTATTGAGTTTGTTGAGTCAATAATCGAATCTGTTGATAGAGGTGAAAGAGTCGTTGGCATTTTTTTGGACTTGTCCCGAGCTTTTGATAGTGTTGAGCACTGCAAACTGATCCAA